CTGTCTAAACGAAGGTGTCTGATTTGATTATCCACACACAAGTTCTACACATTGAATAAACAAACGATTTTAACAGAAATAGAAGAGGAGATATTATGAAAAACAGTCATATTAGATTAAAAAATTCTACATTATTGTTTTCAAAGTGGTACGTAGCTGGAATTTCTAAAGTAAAACCCTTGAGCTTCTGGGGGCTCCGCCCGCTGGATCCCACGCCAATCAGTGTCCTGCCAGTGTCACAAATAAGGTATAAAAATATGTTCATCTGACCGTAATCGAATGCCTAAAACCCCTGAGCTTCCGGGAGATCTGCCCCCTGGACCCCGTCTTGGGCCCAAAGACGGACCCCTGGATTCTAATATGACGGTAATTTAATGCCTAAAACCCCTGAGCTTCTGGAGTTTCTGCACCCTCGACCCCACCAGGGGCCCTAAGGCGGGCCCCTGAATGCTTATCTGACCGTAATTTATCAAAGGTATCAAAATATGTTCATCTGACCGCATACGCGTAGCCATGGGGCGGTTTCTTTCTCTAATGATTTAATGAAACGTAACAGCTTCGGCGCTTCGCGCGGGAGGGGGGGGGGGGGGGGGAGGATAAACTGAATTCAGACGAGGTTTTTTTCAAGAACGGTAAAGCGAATCGTCTTCTTTTTTATGATAATTTAATGAAACGTCAAAGCTTCGGCGCTTTGCGGAGGAGGGAGGGGGAAATCGCCCCTCCCTGCACCCCTCCCCCGACTACGTCAATGCTGGTCACCATTACGTACCGATATTTGGCTCGCATAACAGAAAACCCAAATTATTGTTCTGCTTCTAATGAAGCTAACTTAATATCAGGGTGGACTTCTCCTCCCTGTATTCAATAATGAGCTGAAAAGTGTAATCTATTCCTTTTTCCATTAGACCATTTTTCTTCAACATGTCTCAGCAACAATTTGTTTATATTCTGTCAGCAAAATAAACAAACATTTAAAATATATACATGGCGTCTATAGGTTTTGTTTATTAACAAAAAATTAAAAAGTTAAGCAAAACGTTGTTTGAATATAAAGCTAAAATCTGACCGAACGTTGCCTGCCCCAGATATCGATTTGCACAATCATGGATTGTATGTACTAATTCCAATCATGTTTTCACTCCGATGGATTGATTATACTCCTTAGCATATAAAACAAGCTACAATACAAAACACCGTTTGGAATAGTAGAATTGTAAACAGGTTATGTTGGGTCCTTGATTATGTGCATGACAATCAAACCTTTCTGATTATCATAATAATTAAAACACCATATGGAATTGAATCTTAAACAGGTAACCTTGGGTCCTTGATTATGTGCATGACAATCAAACCTTTCTGATTATCATAATAGTTAAAACACCATAAGGAATAGAATCGTAAACAGGTGACCTTAGTTTCTTGATTAGTGCACGGCAATCAAACCTTTCTGATTATCATAATAATTAAAACACCATATGGAATATAATCGTAAACAGGTGACCTTAGGTTCTTGATTAGTGCACGACAATCAAACCTTTCTGATTATCATAATAGTTTAAACACCATATGGAATAGAAACGTAAACAGGTAACCTGAGTTTCTTGATTATGTGCATAGCGATAAAAACTTCATGATTATAATAATACTAAAAACACCTTTGTTTTACAATCTTTTAGGTGCTCTTCAAAAAAAAGATTTGAGATAATTAAGGTAAAAGTAATTATAGTATAATTGTACAGGTTTATGCACAGAAATATTCAAATTCATTGAATTGAAAGAGTGAATAAGCAGGCTAAGATAATGAGAGTATTATGGAAAGCATATTATCTAGGTACTCTAAAATACAAAGACTCTCCGGAGTCATACATTTTCCACAATAGAAATTTTTAGTTATTTTGTGAAAAATTGTTGGACACCAGTGGTGGATCCAGGGGGGGGGGGGGGGGCCCTGAGCGAATTATCGGCCGGCACGATTTTCAAATTTTCGGGAGCAAAAAAATAAATAAATTAGTGCTCACTACCCCCCTCCCCCTCCCCCCTATGCGAATTATTGGCCGGCTGTTTCGCCGCTAAATATTTTCTCACGAATTGGGCCCCCTCCCCTGCCGCGGGCTGGATCCGCCCCTGATTATGATTGCGATACGGCTATAAGACCAAATCATCGCCTGAAAATATGATAACATTTTTGTTGCTGTTGCATGGTGTTGTCAGTGTACAATTTTCAATGTGCAAAATTATTGTTCAGCCATGCGTGCCGCCAAACTATCAAAGTCTTTTACAAGTGTTGTAGGGCGAGCCGGTGTCACAAAATCATTCTCGATGAATATATTGTATTAAAATCACTTCTTCAACAGTTTTTCAACAGAAAGTATCACAGATTCATTATCAGCTGACGTTGGATGGAATGTTTCCAATTGGAGGTTGGCGTACAGGGATGTCTTTTGCAAATATATGGTGATGGTGTTAGGCGCCAGTATCGCAAAAACTATTTTCAAGGAAGGTTGGGCTAGTGCAGCTAGGCCTACTATTTAGGGCACTATACTCCAGCGTTGTTCAACAGAAACGTAAATAATTTATTACTCTTTCTTGAACAATAACTGGCGTCAGAGATATGGGGTCTCCTACAGGAAAAGAAGTTTCTAATTGGAAGTGGGGCTATATCATTGTCCTCAGCAAGGCCACGATGTGCTTCTTGGGATACGGCGTCGGCAAGTCTTTCGGCGTGCTCATCCCCGAGATCGTCGACCGTCTCGATGCCAGTTATGCCAGTGTCGGATTGGTTTGTAGCTTGCCTGCTTCGATCATGATGTTATCGGGTAAGTTATTGTCAAATTACATTTTCATAATAGTGATTTTGTTGTTCCAGAGAGAGAGAGAGAGAAAGACAAACAAAGGGAAAAGACGATGTATCGTTAATGGTTAAATTGTTAAAATCATATTTACATTGGAACACAATCATATCAACGGAATCGTAGGAACAGGCCCGTATGCATAGCAAATCATAATCATGGAATATGCCCATAGAAGTGGTCTGGGTGGAGGCCGACATGCTTTTGTTAACTGACTTAATCTACCGTATTAATAACAGGATTTAAAGGTACTATATATGTCCCATTTGCAGCCAACATCAAATTCTGTAGAACTTTGCAGGAATTATGAATATGTCACGTATGACCTATCTGTGAAATTCAAACATTAGCAGTGTTCTAGTATTAAAATTATGCAAGGAAACCCGTTTACTTTCTAGACTTCACTGTTGGACACTATTGAGTGAATGACTGACTTAATTTTTCTTTAGTAATAACATTAATGAGCTGTATCTACATCAATAACCCACTTCTTGAAATAGCCCAAATTAATATAAAATAATACGTAGGGCCGTGCATCTCAGATTTAACATTGTTAAACGATCCCTTTAATACATAGTCATTTGTTTGCTTTTTTGCAGGTCCTGTTATCACCTTCATCCTAGTGCGATATAATCATCGATTGGTGGCCATGTTCGGCGGAATAATATGCGCCGTTGGTCTAGGAGCATGCGCATTTGCAACCAGCACCATAGTGTTTGGTCTATGTCTGGCGTTTTCGGGTAAGTTATCACACAAGAGGACTCGCGGGGCGGAGGGGGAATCGAAGGGGCGGCTCCCTGTTTAGAAAAAAAAATTAAAAGAGAGCGAAAAATCAATAATTTTACATGCAGCATACAACAGGAGATTTTAAAAATGACAAGATATATACAAGAAAATAACATAAAGTACTACAAACAAAACGAAGCATGTCTGCTGGAGGGGGTAGCATCCAAAACAGTTATACCTATCTGAAAATACAAAACTAGGTTTACTACAAAATAAATATATATATATAAGTAGGAATATCATCCCATTGTTAAGAATACTGATAAATTTCTTTGACTTTGACTTAAAAAACTTTAGGTTTGAGATGTTTTAATTTGCATTGAATTCCACTGCATAGGTCCATTGTTAATTTTTGTTTTTCCAAATCTCCGAAATTATGGGGTACGTATAGATGACAAGGAAAAGTCTTTGGTATTCCTGGCCCCCGGTTGCATAAAACTTACAATTGATGGTAACTTTTGCCATCACACTACCATGGCAAAATTTATTCAACGCGGATCTGGTATATTGTAAAAGGAATATATGACATTACTATACAAGGTAAATAATTTAATAAAGACATCCCAGATTGAATAGTTAATAATACGTTTTTTTCTTCAAAGTACTTAAAGAAAAATCTGTCTATATGCTATTTTCGTAATGTAATTAAATTAAATGAAATAATATTTGTTAAGTGCGTTATTACAGATTATTTCAATCACCCGTTACGAATAATTGTATTTCAATTGTCAGAATGCTAATTTTTTGTAAAATTAATCGTTGCTAGGTTGGACATTCATAATGGCTTTTCCTACCTAACAACGCGTAATGTATGCAATTCACATTCTGACTATTGAAATAAAATTATTCATAACAGCTAAATGAAACAATTTGTAGCATGGCACTTAACAAAGATATATGGATTAAATTTGATTAAATTAGAAAAATGACTTTTGACTGAATAGTGTTTCTATGACAGAGCGAACAATGGTCAAAAGATCAGTCATGTTCACTGATGTGAACATTCCTCGTTACGGAAACCTCCCACTGTCCTCCAAAAACGTCCATTTCCCTAAGTGGTATTGAAAAACACTGTTAAGCTTTAAAGAATTTCATTAAGCCTCATTTCAATACGTTGCTGATTCTAGTTCATAATTGTCTATCTCAACCTTTATCACAGGTATTGGTGGGGCCTGCATTTTTCACGCTAACACCCTGTTAATAAACGACTACTTCCCGAAGAAATTTGTCCTAATGAACTCACTATCACTATATGGAAGCATGGTCGGAATAATGGTTCTTCCCATCATCACAGACAGATCTTTAGAAACTTACGGGTATACATGGACTTTCCTCATTCTTGGAGCAATCCAGCTTCATGTCGTGGCATGCGCAGCAGCGCTTCGACGTCCATTCTCTAAAGACATAGTCATAACGAAGCGGGAAGACAGTTCTAATGATTCCATGACTCTCATAGAGGCAGGGATGAGTGAAAGTGACGGAGATCAAAGAGTGGAAGCATTAGCGATTATCGAGGTAAAAGCGCGCGAGAGAAATACCGACATATGTGAACGGAGCCCCAAGGAAAAGACAGAGCGGAGTGGTCAGGAGGTGCATCCGACTAACAATGTTCAGAACAATAATCCCAGCCTGAAAGAATCAGATAGCATTAACAAAGATGCGATTGAATTCGTAGGAAAGAATGAGACCGATTCAGGCATTAGCGCAGAAGAACACATTACGTCGTGCATTGGGAATGATGGCATTGACATCCACAAATCCTATGATGCTTCAGATTCTGAGGATCGCAGTGGCACTATTTGGTCATCTAGATCAATCTTGGAATCAGGAAGTATAGAGAAAGTTTATACGACTGAACTTGGAGGAGAGAATGGGAGCGATACATGTAGTGACGCAGAGGAACGCAAAGCTTTGATCCCTGAGAATGGCGAAATTGGTAACATTCTTCAACCTTCTGCTGCTTCAGATGGAAATCGAAATGGAGATAGCCGGGGCAGTTTCGGCTCATTCGGATCAATCCTGAAACAGTATTTCAAACCTATACTCCAAGAACACGTCTTTTTAGTCACTCTCCCCGTAGTCCTTCTTCACGCCTATATTATCAAAGCATGGGTTCTCTTTCTCGTGCCGCACGCCGAGCAAGTTGGCATCATCCAATCAAGGGCTGTCCTTCTAGCATCTATTAGTGGCATCGCTGGTCTCATTGGCCGAACCATTACCGTGGTCTTACTGGCCAAACAGACGGACATGATTCCCGTGTACATCATAACCGGTGCGATCTGCAGCGTGACGTTTCTTCTAGATGGCTTCGGTGACGGTTTCATCAGCCGCGCTTGTCTGGCCTTTGTCCAGGGTTTCTGCTTGTTTACTCTGGATACAACCATCTTCGGATTTCTGAAAGTCGCGGTGAAGAGGGAAGATAACTTCAGTACGGCCTATGGAATTAATTGTGCAGTCGTCGCCGTCGGGCTCATCGCCAGTGGGTTTGTAACAGGTAAGTTAAGTGCGTCTCCATTTTGTCCACCTAAATACATCGAGTACCGAAGTGCGATGTCATACTGCGTGGCCAAGTGTCGAGGTTGCTGGTTCCAGACAGTGCTAAACAATAGGGACTTTTAGATTTGCACGTCGACATAGTGGACTGCTACGTGTGATGTCCTTAAAGGTACTATGTCCCATTTGCAGGCCAAAAAAATGAAAAAGTTAAATTCCAACTCCATTTGAAAGATAATACTAATTTAGAACTTCCCTAAAAAAGGTGGGGCTTGAAAATGTCTTCAAGTGGGAAAATAAAGACTATGAGTTGTCAAATCGACTTTAGGGCTATAAAGCCCAAAAGTAATAGTCTTGATTTTCAGACAATTGTACCGAATGGTCATACGTTTTATGCTGCACAAAGATTCAATCAGTTTTATCTTGGCCATCACAAGAAGTGGGTTATTGATGTAGACAAATGCTCATGTACCCTTTACAACTCTTTTCATGTATGTTATTACCAAAGAAGAAAAAAAGCCAGTCAGTCACTCAATAGTGTCTGACAGTGCAGTCTAGCAAGTAAACAGGTTTCCTTGCATAATTTGAATATGAAGACACTGCTAAAGTATAAATTTCACAGATAGGACATACATGACATATTCATAATTCCTGCACAGTTCTACAGCATTTGAGGTTGGCTGCAAAAGGGACATAGTACCTTTAAGGCACTGTGACGTCCTTGTAAGGCGCTGCCAGTGCCTTACAAGGACGTCACACGTAGCAGTCCAACATGTCGATGTGCAAATCTAAAAGTCCCTAATACTGTGTTGATCCCACCAGCCCCCAAAACTGAATTTACCCAGCTCCAGAACTTGCTTGAATGAATTCGCGTTGAACTTCATGCACAGGCTCTTCTGTTTAGAACCAGTAACATGGACGACGAGCGAATATATGACGTATGCACTTCGGTACTCTATATACACAGAATGAGTTTGGCCTCATTAGTTACAGTTGGACCAGAGACATACTAGAGTAACTGTATCCGTAATTGGACACAACACGGTGGGTGATCAATTATTTTGTTTGCTTGTTTTGTCACCTTGATTAATTTTTCGCACTATATAATGGAATCTTGTTCAAACACGTTCCAATGACTAATATTTATGTAAAGTAATTATTTCACAAAGCTCTTCATTGATCAGAAAGTTCACACATTATTCAAACTATAATATAATTGTGCGTGGCTTAACACAACACGGTGCGTGATAAATCATTATTTTGTTCGTTTGCTCGTTATGTTTTTTTTATTTTTTATTCGATCACCCAACAAATTAGCAACATACGTATTTTTGTACCTAATTAGAAACGGGTATAGGCCAAACTCGGTGTATAAATAGACCTGGGACCCGTTTCACAAAGCCCTTTTTCAATGACGATTGACAGAAATCAGTGACAAATCTATTGATAACCAATCAGATGCAAGGATTTCAGTAGCTTATAACAAAAACCATCATTTGTCACTGATGACAAGTTTTGTGAAACGCCCTCCTGGTTCCAAAGAGGTCCAATGACCACAATTACTTGTGTATATTAAATCATTTTGAGCAAGCACTCCATATAAGAATCCAATATTATTGTTATTATTATTATTCATAAGTATAATTTTGCATCGTTTTATGTAATTGCAGTTTTACAGTACAGTTGAAACCATGCATGTTATCATCTTACAGTCCCGGACACAAAAATCACATATAAATGTAACATGTTGAAAGTGGATACAAATTAATGAAGTATTTATTTCTTTGTTCTTTCTATATTCACAGGAGCTCTGTTTGATGCCCTCCATTCATATACCAAGGTTTTCAACATCATTGGTGTCGTTCAGATTATATTCATCGCTAATGTTATTCTCATCAAAATCCTTTTAAAGAGAAGGTCCAGTTCTGGTAAAGCTGAACAATAGTTTGCAATATTTTGTAAACAGCATATACCATAAAGAACACTGCATTCCAGTAAAAAGTTTGTATATTATGTCCCATACTTAATGACAAAATCGTACGGGGAAAGGTCATTTTCATATGCAGCCACTTTTGTATGGAATAACTTGCCGGAATATCTTAGGAGTATAGAAACATACGAAAAGTTCAGAAGTAGTTTGAAAACATATTTATTTAGCACTTTGTAATCTCACAATTATGAACTCAGTTCACCATTTCCATTCCATCTGTATTCAGTTATGTAAAGCGCATATAGAAACATGCGATTATGCCCGAGTGTCATGCGCTATTCAAAAACGTTTGATTCACATTATCAGCAATATTTGGCGTTCGCAAAGGAATTACTGTCGATCCGGTCTGGCGAAGATGTTACTACGGAAGGTAACGTTGCATGGGAGGTCGTGTGCAGTATCTTTGCAACTACGTCCTGTGTTCAATCCGCAATGGCTACAACACCCTGTCACTCACAGTCGTAATAATCAAAGAAAAGGAATTTTCTGTTGTTGTTGATGTTGTTTGTTGTGTTCGCTTTCATTTATTTTCTATTATTATTATTATTATTGCATTTCTCTGAGGAAATGGAAGCCTTTTGATTTTTACCGTCTGGCATAGAGATATAATATTCAATTTAATTGTCTATTTCCTCTGAGACCAAGCTTATATCTTTTCAGACCAAATCGAAATGAACGAAAATTATCATTTTCCTTGTGAGGCATCACAACATAGATTAATTCTTATCAGAAAGTTATAAACCCTTTTAATACAAATGACATTTCTTGTAACACAACACAAAGTTAAAACCATCAAAAGCTCATTGAAGTACTTTTTGATTAGTTAGTATTGTATGTATCCCCTTTTGTCGTATGCGAACACGAAGAACAAATTAAATTCATTTGTTTTATCACGACTATTGAGTTTGATTTGCTGTGTTACCTTGGCTCTTCGATTCCACTTCTTGAAGAATGTTAACTGTGTAATTAGTTTGCTTTCTTTCTTTGATTACTTGATATACGTAAGGTCAAAATTATTCAATGTTCTCACAACTGCGCCAGGAGTGTCAATTTGGACAGACATGGCGCGTTACAAATGTTCACTATTATTAGTATTAGTATTATTATGTGTAAGCTAATAAACACAATATTATTTTCAAATTTCTTATCTATTTTGTTCATAAGGAAGAGTATTTCATTAATATCAATTATCATTAGCACAGGTTACGAGACACATTTTCTTTGGATTTTGTTTTGTACTTTTTCTAAAAGATAATAAGCTCTCATAATATCTATAGTATACATACATATATGCGTGTGTGTGTGTGTGTGTGCGTGTATGTGCGCGCATAACATAACATGGCAGTGAAATTATCTTTCATGACACTAAATGTTAGAGGAATAAGAGATAGGCTAAAAAGAGTGAATATTTTTGAATGGTGCAAAAGTAAAAAGAATAGTATAATTTTCTTACAAGAAACATATAGTACAGTAGAGATAGAAGAGCGGTGGAAACAAGATTGGGGAGGGCAAATGTTTTTTAGTCATGGGTCAAACCATAGTAGAAGGGTTCTTATTTTATTTTTTAATCATTTAGATTTTGAAGGAAAAAAAATAAAGTAGATGAAGAGGGGAGATACATTATTTTTAAAGCTGAAATACAAAAGGTTTAAATGAGAATGGGTAATGTTTATTTTCCGACGAGGGATAAAGAAACTTTACAAATTGAATTTTTGAAGAAGTTAGATGAAAATATTTTTGATCAGTGTGATCGAGACTATTTAGTTTTATTAGGAGGTGATTTCAATAGTATATTGGATGGAAAATTAGATTATGTGGGGTCAAAAAAATCTGTGGAATCTCGGGTTTATTGATTTGATTGAGAAGATATATGGAGAAAAGGAAATCCGAATGTAAAGCAATTTACATTATGAACGGTGGTCACTCAACGGGATATTTTGAAATAGAAAGGGGAGTAAGGCAAGGGGATCCATTATCGCCATACTTGTTTTTGGTTGCCATCGAAGTTTTGGTGCATGCAGTAAGGAGGGACAACGGTATCAAAGGGATTAAATTTGGAAAATCTGAAATTAGGCAAGTGTTATATGCAGATGATTTGACAATATTTTTGAAGGCTATTGATTCGGTGAGAAGGTTGCAATATATTTTTAAATGATTTGAACAAATTACTTGTCTTAAAGTGAATTAAACAAAGATATTTTATGTGGATGGGTGAGGATGAGAACACCCCTGATGGGCCTTTATTTGGAAATTTGGTTAAGGAAATACACATTTAAGGGGTTAGTTATTCATTAGATCGAAGATTAAAAGATAATTTGAATTATAAAGAAATTCTACGTAAAATAATAAAATTGCTTGTATGGTGGAAACATAGAGATTTAACTATTATGCGTAAAATACATTTGTTAAAAACCAGGCTTATGCGCTTTTAAAATTTAATTATATTTCATCTCTCGTTATTGTCCCTCATTGGGTATACAAAGAAGTTGCAAAAATTACATTTGAATATATATGGAGGGGGAAAGATAGAATTAAACGGGCAATAATCAATCAGGATTATGACTTTGGAGGATTAAGAATGATTAGGTTTGAAATGTCCATTAAAATACAGCGCATAATGTGGATAAAAACGTCTTTTATATGGAGAGAAAAATTTGGGACGGAAATTGTTTTTTGATCATTGCTTACAGTTTGTGGGTGGTAGATTTATTTTTTTATGTGATTATGATTTAAAAAAGATTATACTCGTTTTAGATATTTCACCATACTATATGGAAATGTTGCAAGCATGGCAAGAGACAAGTATTTTAAGATATTTGGAGGGTTGTATTAATCCAATTATTTTTAATAATCGGAATATATGTATAAATGGAAAAAAGTATATTTGATAGATACTTCTTTGAAAGAGGGATTGTTCAACTGAATCGCTTGGTTCAGAAAGGCCATGTTAAGTCTGTTAACTATTTTATGAACCTCGGTATGAAAGGTAATAATTTGCTTATGAATTTTGATATTTATGATGCGATACCCATGTTATGGAAGAATGATTCAGGGTTAATACAATTCCTAGAGGTTGATTTTTATAAGCTTTAATACTTATTTCCATATTTCAGGTTCAAAAATACAACTTTTGGATGTGGGTTCAAGAACAATTTATGATTATTTTATCAAAGCACTGCAGCAAACGTATGATTTGCAGGTAAGGGATGGGCAAAATGATTATGATTTTATAGATAAAAAATTAAAAGAAATATTTGTTAGACGAAGAATTACTATACTCATTAGAAAACAACGAGAATTTCAATTTAAATTATTGCATGGATCCATAATACTAATGAGCATCTTCATAGATTTGGTTTTGTTGGTGATAATTCATGTTCGTTTTGAAAGCAGGAAATAGAAAAATACAAACATTTATTTTTATTTTTCGGTAGCGTTCAAAGGATATTGCAGGCTTTAATACAACTTTTTGAGTTAGATGAAATTAAAGATTTAGAATGGCGAGATATATTTGTTGGGGTGGCAGGTAGTACATATAGAATAAAAATGTGTAATATTATTATTTTCATTGAAAAGTTTTCTATATAGAGGGAGCAAGTAGCTACAAGTAGGACAGTGGAGCTTTAAAGTGGGAGCAGCTTAAGATTAATTAAGATTTGTTTTCTTCTCCACCGTGAGCCTGTTAAAAGTGTAACTCTATTTTGCGGCCTGGATAACTTACTTAATTAGTATATTGTTCTTGAGTTGAGAATGTAAGCAGACATCCACTGAGTGTGGGTGGGTGGGTGGGGTGTTTGTGTGAGGGAGGGGGCAGGAAGGGTGCAGAGAGGAGCAGGCATTGTTCCAGTAAAATTACCTCCAGATTTGTTTAAGTTTTTTTTTTTTATATAAGTGAATAACATTTACAATTGACATATATATTATGTTTAGTTAATTATAAGTTTACTTTGTTGCTAAGTTATATATACTGCAAATAAGTTTTTGTTTAATTATGTTCATGTAAAAGCAATTAATATTGAACACTTTTTTTTATTCAATTGTATGTTATGGTTTGTATTACACAATTGAAGAAATAAAACAAAATTGCTTAAAAATAATAAAAAATTGTGTGTGTGTGGTTGGTGTAAATTATAACGAATTTATATAAAGACGTGAGGAACGTCGAAAATGTGTGACCCTAGAAAAACTTGGATTTAAAGCATGCAACTCCTCTTCATTTATACAAACCCACGCACGCACACACACACACACATTCACACACCCACACACACACACACATGCATATATATATATATATATATAATATATGTATCTATACTAAATACACAAACACCCACCTACATATAAATAGATATGTATCTATAAATACAGTTTATATATTATGTAAGCGTGTGTACATGTGTCAGGCGTTTGCATTTATAGTTGTGAGTGTATGTACATGTTTACTTGAAAGTACCTAGCTGCGTCATTGTACCCGGTTGTTGAAGGAACCGGTAATAATAAAATCTCATTATTACTTAAATATTATGCAGGGGAGAATAGATTATTTGCAGATAATAGGAACACATCGACACGAACATGAGACACAACACATAAGAGCTTTGAAAGTGCTAACAAAAATACATTTAATTTCGTAAAAATAATATATACAAAAAATGTTTAATATCTATTTAAATATTAACACTCATATTTCACGTAAAATATCTAAATCAGACTCAAATTAAAGCAGGATATCTTCCAAATCGCCATTATCTTGCTTAAAGTTAAGTAGGCTTATACATTTAGTAGCATCTAAATCAGTCATATGTGAGATAAGATGACTTTGTTTTCGATTTTGCTATAGCAAATATCGTATTTTAAGCTAGTATGAAACCCATACGTGCATCCCAGATCTGAAAAACAAATAACTAACGATTTTTAGTTTTCCCTCAAATAATAAAAGCCATACCAATATTGATATAACAATAAGTATTCGTAAAATATTTATATTTACAACAAAACGTGTGCGGTATGTATTTAGGACCCGTGTGACTTACTGAACATTATTAAAAGGCACACAAGTAATGCTCCCGCTAAAAGTATATAGACATCATGTACTTTCTTTCAGTATAGGCTTAGCAAGAGTGGTGTTGTGCTATAAAATAACTATTGTGTTGTAAATATGACTTTATTACTAAAAGGAGGACACCTAAAAAAGAAAACTATTATTTTTCCTTGTTTTAGGTAAAGATTTGAGAGCATTTGTCACAAATTTGAAAACCTGATGACAAATTTTCATGTCTTCAAATATGAAAATCTGACGCAAACCTGTCGAAAATTTGGTTCGACATCCCCGACCCCTTCAATAGCCCCTGTCTGAATATCTGGTCGATAATATTACCACTGACCTACCAAAGTAAATTCATTTCATATTAACTAAAGTGAAGATAAAACCTGTTGTCGAGTTTTTCTACGAATGTTCAACATACCATTCATAATAATACAAGAATACCTCCAAATAGTCTAAACAATAAGCACCACGATAGACAGCAATAACTATTATACAGATGAACAGAATATCTGCCCTATTACGTACACAGCATACAAAAATAAAACAAAGTTATCAAAATATAAACACATATAAAGGACAAAGCCAAGTATTCATAGGAACGTGCTAACTTTAGTCCAAGTTTTTTTCAGTCGATACATCTGGTCCACTAATAAAAGAGGCCGAGTTTCAAACTCCATATCGATTAGTAATTACCATAATTCTGTTACAAATCGCAACAAATAGAAATTATCTCGCCATGAAATAATTTTTCTATTTTTCATTCCATGACTGGACCTATTTTTTGCTTCATCATTCTGTCGCAGAATTTCTTCAATATTATTTTTAAAAAAGAATCGAGAGCTTGGCACTCGGCGGTCCATATGATTATCAGTAGACAAATATATTGTATACCAGGAGAGTGTTTCATGAAGACTAAGATCGATTTATGTCAGACCATTCATGCCACTGGTTGCTCTCACCATTGGTCTCTCAGGGGACGTCACAAATCTACAGAATTTACATTTTTGATAGTTCATTGGTGAAGTAAAAAAGTTCCTTACAATGTGAACTTAAGTTATATTTAAGACTTGGACTTGGACTACGGTGTGCGATCAATGCCCCCAAAATGTCTTAAACCAGATGTAAAATTAGAGGGGAATAGTCTTGGAAGTTATGATATTTAGATATTTTTTCCTTCAATAATGGACGATCCAAATATGAACATTATGTAGCTCTGTGCTCACGATTTGTATGTCCATTGCGAAACTAGCGGCATGAACGGCCTGCCATAGTCAAGTCCAACTTAAGTCGATCTTAGTCTTTGTGAAACACTCCCCAGATTTAACATAGTCCTCCTGTGTGAAGACGAGATATTACAGCCATTCTTATTCCAAGAGTGACAGCACCATTAAAAATTATATTTTAATACATATATATATATATATATATATATATTAATACATTTAATCTTAATACACTTTAATGTAAGAAATTATATCTACTTCTTTGTTGGTGCAGTTTCCATTCATTTATACATTTTTTTTTTTTTTAACGCCGCAGTTAACTGTTCTGTCATAAGACAGATATAGCCGTCTGGTATGGGGTATTCTTGAAGAAAGGTGACATTTTCAACCTAGTGCAGCAAGATCTAGTGTCGGCGGAACAACCGCCGATGAAAGAGAGCTTTCAGTCTAACTCCGGGATGGGCAGTACAGGTAGGCAAGACTCGGAGGGTGGCAGTTTCTAAAGGTGAATGAACTATTTCTCGACTCCAGATCTTAAGAAATGTGGGTCTCGCTACCAAGCAAATCACACTGGTTCACCACCAGACGGGGCCTTGGTAGGCAGCTTAGGTGCTTCTGGTTGAGATGCACTTGATGTGACTAAAGAGAAAGGACGGGGACACAGGGAAAAAGAAAGAGAGAGAGAGAGTAAAAAAAAGATATTAGTATTGATGTAAATGATGATATTGGTGATAGCGATGGTGGTGATAAAGATGGTGATGATGATAGTGGTGATGATGGTGATGGTGATGGTGGTGATGATGGTGCATGGTGTTGATGGTGGTAGTGATGATGGTGGTGATGAAGATGATGGTAGTGGTGGTGGTGGTGATGCAGATGAAGATGATGTTTGTTGTGGTGATGATGGTGGTGGTGATGGTGATGGTGATAGTGATGGTGATGGTGGTGGTGGTGATGGTGATGAAGATGATGATGGTAGTGGTGGTGGTGGTGATACAGATGAAGATGATGATTGTTGTGGTGATGATGGTGAGAATAACACTGGTAATGATGATGGTGATGATGATGATGATGATGGGGAGGAGTAGAAGGAGGATGTTGATGACGATGATCGTTATAATTTATCATACATTAATTTTAATCAATAAATTAGACTCTGCTACTAAAAACGCTATTAAAAAACCATAACTGTTTACTTCATCTTAGCCAGAGATGGGGATGAGAAACAGACAACTCGTTTAATTTTAAATCTGAAGTCCGTACTTCAGGAACATGTAGTGATACATCTTCGAATACAACTACAAGAAAAAAAAAACATACAAATTAATAATTACCTTCTAATCGAAGAGAGCCGTCTGCTAGAATATCTTCAGCCTAAAATTACAAACAACACGATCGTCATTAAATCAATGTGGTCCTTCATATCTTGCTATGAATGCGACTCTTTATGACTAAATTATGGTGCTGCATGGATGGGATATGCTGAAATGATAACTAGTGGATTGGTCTGAACATTAAACTCTAAACGTATAGCTTAAGATCAAATCTGGAAAGAAACCATGAGGTGACCAACGTTTTAAAAGTGGTTTATCGAATCTTTACACGAGCTTGATGCAATCTGAATAGTGTTGGATTCGGCAAGATAATAGTGACACAACACCTTTAAAATGCTGTCATTCCTCAGCCTTTGAAATAGATATTAATTTTACACTTAAAGAGTTCTGGTAACAGACATAAATACATTTTTCACCCTCTCTCATACAAATGATGACCCGACATATATATAAGTTCACCTTTAATTCACTAACTTTTAAAAAATTCCCATTTAAGTTGATTATTTGTGTGTATGTTGCAAGGACCTTACCGATACCTCATTGGTGGCGCGTTGCCCGCAACACAGGCAACACTCTGGTGCGTCGCTGTAACACTCCTTGAAACAGCTGGCGCAACAGGTACAGTTGAAGCAACTCCCGAACAAAACCCCAAGAATAGAAGCGATGAAGGCCATCAAGGAAATGAGAGCTATCAGAACATCGATTACCATCCTACCGGCCTGCAACATGATTGATTTAAGGTGGTTTAAGGCGCTTGACTGGAGATGCGAAGGTCGAGGGTTCGAATCCCGACACGGAACTAATATCCTTTGGCAAGATATTAAAGGAAACCGAACCCCAAGTAATAAATTTACCTATTCTGAGAGATATATTATATTATTGCCCATAAATCTACAAGATTCCCCACCAAAGTGTATGAGAGAGGTATAAAGCAAAAATAAATTACAGTTACTCAGCACGACATGGGCATCGCCATTTTCTTGATAATGTGACGTACTATGCGAAGTCGATTATCAAGTAAATGTATTCAAATTTATGGATGCTTCTTTCCCAGACGTGTGTGGTGATGAAGCATTTCATTCAGCTGCTATTATCCTTTGTACTATAATTGCCAGAAGGCAAATTGCATAAGTAAGTCAGTGCTCTCCTGGGGTGAAGATTTCTCATAAATGAAATGGATTTGTCAACTGCTATAGTGTAGTATTTATAAATTAATTTTGTTACAATTGTGCCCCTGTTATTTATTATTCACCTTATATAATTTATATCATCTCAATTATTATTTTTTTCATTGAAAAGTAAAGGTTTCGTTATTGATTTAAAAATTCTTTCCAACTAAAGCTTGGTGCATGATACATGTACAACTTCAACAGGTACGTCACATTTTCAAGAAAATGGCTGCGCCCATGTTATGCTGAAAGGCATCACATAATGCGAAGAATATCTTTATTTATATATATCTTGTATATTTTCGTAAGGAATATTGTACATCAAAGGGCAGGAATACATCTCATTTTTCAGAATACCTACACTTATTCTTTGGGTTTAGGTTTCCTTTAACCTACACCTTGCTAATCTCCACCCAGGTGTTACAATGGGTACCCGGTAGGATGCGAGCGTCATTGTTAGTCAACTAGTTATTGAGCGTCAAGTAACGCCTGGCTGGAATGCTCCCCAGGGAGTGGGGATTGTGCACACAGTGTGTGCGGGCAAGCAGTGATTCCAATGACCGGGGTAATAGTATATCTGTATAGTGCTTAGAGACGTCCGAGGTGTATTAAGCGCTATGTAAAAGCGTAATATTATATTATTATTATTTATGAATTAACTATAATTAAAGGACTCGCATGAAATGTCACAGATTTGTACATTTATTTGATTGACCGGAGCTTCAAACATTCAGGACTTTCTTATTTTTAAATCGGAATTTGCTCAAACTTTCACTGACCTGTTTCTCTTATTTTCCACTTCTATTACAACCAATTTCATATCAGGGTGGACTACTCCTTTAATAATACATAATAATTAGGGCTTTTTGTAAAGCTCATGATGTCCGTATTAAACATCGTGACGCTCCAATTTTATTACACCGGTCATAGCTGGCGGTCTAATGTGTACGTAGCGGTCTGGCATATCGGATACCCATTCTCACCTGGGTGGAGAGTGGCAAAAGTTGATTGATATTGTGCAAAAGGAAGTCAGTGCCGGAGTCGATTAATTACTTAATTAATGAATAAAAGAATGAAGAGCGAGAAAAAATAAATGAATGAATAAACAAATGACTAAATAAATAATCAAATAAAATTATGAATATATGAATGAATGAATAAATGAATAAATAAATAAATAGATACAGAAATAGATAAATAAAAAATTTAAAAAGTCGGCGGTCGGGGGATATTCACTACGATTTTTGAGCTACTTCGTCATACGAAAACTTACGAGAGATTTACGGCAGTCAAACTCCAGACTATGAAATGGATTGCAGTATGTGAAGTGTACGTAACCCAGAGTCTTCTCGTGTCTTATGATAACCCAGTAGAAGATAAAGAGACCGAGTGAGATGACGCTACACATCACAGATAGACCTATGTATGCAGCCGTCTGATTTAGGCAAACAGGAAGAAGAAAAATATAAACAAACGGAAATATATAGATGAGAATAATAATTTCAATAAAGCTACAGGTACTCATATCCTTTCCAAGTTTTGGTATTTTTGAAGAATGTGAAAATTCGATTTGTCCCGATTTACGTTTCTTGGGAATACAAGGTTACATGTAAAAGTATTCAACAAAGGCTCTAATTTAAACAGTCCACCTTTCATTCTTGACTTCCAAAAATCACACAAAGAAAAACACCTTATATTTACGAGGGTTATGGATAATTTAGTTGTTCACTGCATATTGTCAATATAAAAATCCATCTCAAGGGGTTCTCAACATACTGTCACCGCCCTGGCTTTAACCCCGTGGTCCTATAAGGAGCTGAAAGAATTCAAGGAATTACTTCCCAACAAGTATTCATTCGCTACACCTAGGTTGAGAGTGACAAATATACATTCATGTCTTGCCAAATGACCTAAGTGTCAAGGCAGGGATTTGAACCCCTGAACTGCATGGTGATCTACACTCCGGTGACATAAACTACTATGTGATACCTCAACTTTACAAAAACAACAAAACAATTATTGAAGGAGAATGGGACTCGTAAGTACATCGAATAAAAATGAAAGAGAGCCGATAGAGGTGTGAGCATACAAGGAAAAAGAAAGGGTAAGAAATAAGAAACAGATGATTTATTGCTACTCTTACGGATTTTCTTGATAGTCTTCATCTTCTTCTGAATTTTAGAATTAGTCCGATAGAGGACAATACTTGTGTATATAGGCAGTATCCTCTACGATACCAACAAAGAAAAACAAAGAGAAACACCAAATAAATCTTACCAGATGATGCTTCCTCTGTTGTGCGGCACATAAGCCAACAATTCCGGGCACTATGAAAAACTATAAAAGAAAATGGGAACAGAAATGTCCAGCTACATAATAAATATGATAATAATGGACAACGGACATAAAAGTCTATTGCTCTTCTTACACTTAGAAGGAGCGTGCAATGAGAAGAAAAAGTTTTCATTTTTCGCACCCCGAGGTCAGAGGTGTTGCTATACAATAATTTACGGATATTAAAAAGATTTATGACATTCCCAAGAAGAAAATAGAGAAAAATAAATAAATGGAATAATGATAATAAAATCCTCAACTTTTGTTCTTTGTAGACAAATTAAGACAGTATAAATATGACAAATATCTAAATTTCCGACGGATATTATTTCGATCGGGCTGACAACCACTCCCTCCCCTTTCCACCCCTATGTTCAATGCCCTCTCCCATTTCTTCCCTCCCCCTCACTGAGTTTGACTTACGAAAAGGCCACACCAAATGGGTGCAGCATAAAAAGACCACATGGCCCTCGTGAGAGCGGCGGCGATTCCCAAGATGACAAGGGCGATGCCACTGGTGAGATGAATAATGGAAGTTATCTGTAATGACAAACGAACAAAGTTTATTGGTTTCAGTTTAATTAGAAACATGCTTTGTTTCGACAACATCAAACAAACTTGAAAAAAGTTAGAAGAACAAAATCAATAGTCTGTACGACTTAAACTGTCGATACGGGTTCCAGCAACAATTCAAATCTCTAAACCCAAACTAAAACCCAAACTAAAAAAATGTAAAAAATAAAGTCGGAGGAAATAAGTAAAAGGTCAAACACATACAAATTAGTAAATTGTATTAATAGTTATAATCTTGTCACAGTGGCAATCGTTTTGAAAGCCTGTATAAATCTGGGCGATTTATCAGATTACTATAATTACGTTATAAGATGATAATCGTCGACTATTAGGCGCTATATAAATCCGGAATTATTGTTGATATTATCATTATCAAATATAATTCTTAATTGTTTCAAGTATGGACAATGCCATGAGTGAAAAATCGGTCTAACACGTGGGGGGGGGGGGGGCGTATTATTGCTCAAATCTTTTGGGTGCGATCATAATTATAGATAACTTTGACTTCTGGTAATGATAGAAAATAGATTCTCACAGAATCCAACAAAACTTAAACTGAATGTTCAAGATTACAAATAAATGACATGCGCCAAATGATTTTGGTAGGAAATATATAGGGGCTGAGTAATTAGCATAAAAAGATAAGGAAATCAAGGTAAGTAGGCCCAACATCATGTGCTTTACACAGGTTACTATATGTGCACATTAGAGTTGTTGTTTTTATTGAAGATGATTTCCAGCAGGTTTCTTGTTGTTGCTGTTTCAAGCAATCAATCTACTGCAGGATAAACAATCCAGAATGAATTATAGCTATGTTCTCTCGACAAACGATGCCCATACCAGAGCTCAAGATTAGCTTTAAGTACAGGTATTGTTTGTACACAATTTCCCTACGTTTTCTCAAGGTTTTTGTCCCTATTCAGGATATCTCACTTTTAGTCTCCTTTGGGTTTTTTTTTTATTTTTTTTTTTTTTACTTGTTTTGATGATGATCCTTCTATGCCGGGATTAGGACTTCAATACATTGGCTTGAACCTCAGCCCCATTTTATCCTCGGGGATTTCCGCGGATACATTGGTGGTTGATCGCGGGGATCGGGAAAAAGTCGAAGATTTCCGGAGCATTGATGGGCGATTGATATTTCACCTTGAACTAATGTATAAACCCATTGTTGTCCATAAGGTTGGAATAATTTTTTACTACCACTCTTTATGAAGTGATTTGGACATCTATATCTTCTAAGAATTGTATTGATCAATCTAAAGGGTCATAGAGTTAGATCAATAAAGTTCTGAGAAGACATACAATGAATTCATCGCTAAAAAAGAAACCATATTGTCACAATCATTTTCATGAAAAAAGGTAAAAGTATTATTCCAACTTTCTAGGCATCATTGTATTTTGCCTGTATTTCGCCCGTCTTATTAAGAGCTGTTATTGATTCGAATCAATCGCAAGTCCTCCAATCAATCGCAAAGTTATTTCAAAATTTCACCATTCCGTTTCTCAAATTTTTCTGCTTTGATTCATAATAATATAAAAAAAACGAACTTGTTGGATTTCCCTCTTTACTCACCTTGAACTGGTGCAAGTATTTCGCCTGCCCTAGCAGTGATACAGGGTACATATAGTGTGGAGCTGTCGTCATGGTGATATCTGTCCCAGGAGCCGGGCTCTTTTATGCAGGCTAGAGTATGAAAAATAGATTTATGGTACATATTAGATTTGATTTATCAACCAACAGCAAATACTGGAATACATTTCATACAATTATGTTTACATGAAGAGGTGAAAATAATGGTTAGTAAAAATGGGCCAGTAGATAGCACATGTGCTGTTCTAGTCTAACATTTTGCAGCTAAACAAAGTATTTTGATACAAGTTAAGTTCAGAAAGCAAAACAAAACAAACATTATTTTTACCGTCACCATCGATTTTAAGATTTAACAATTGAAGAACATTATAGTCATTGACCATGTAGTAAGCAAATGAAATACACAATTTTAAACAACTCATAATGCTACTGTTGGGATTTGCAAGAAATATCGAAACATTGTGTTATTAATTTTGTTCGAATATACTACAACCAGATAAAGGCAATGAAAATGGCTATATATTTATAATGAAAATAGGAAATTAAACCAATCACAAGTATTGCTGGTTAATTTAGCTCAGTCCAACGCCCCTCCATTCGCCCCTCTTTCTCACCCCCCTCCTCTCTCTCTCTCTCTCTCTTTCTCTCTCTAATTTTCTCTCTTCTGTATATTTTAATCGATCTCGTTAATAAGTTCGCCTCTTCATGCCTTCAACGTACAGCATTACAAAATTAAAGAATAATCTTCTTCTTTGTGAGACAGATACAAAGTCATGTAAAGGTAGAGCAATAGGGGTGCTTTAAATGCAGAGTAAGGCTTTAGGATATAATATACAGACAGGCTGTTAGAGAATTAAAAGCATGGAATAAAGAAGAAATCGAGATAATGTAGGTAGGCCCCACCCAATGTTATTAGAGGGGGTATATTCTTTTGCAGTCATGCACTCCTGCATGCATTATACACCAATACGCAAGACAATCTTGAATGCACCGACATTGGACTGTTCATGATACAGTGGATAAAGAAGCCATATATTTTACACCCGATACACTGATGAATATAGGATATATCATGGAGTTACTAACTCCAGGTATAATACTACCAGTACTGTTTACACACTCGTGTAGCTCACTATATCACTCTAGAGTGAAACATATACAGTGTATAATAAGCGAAGTAAGCAAACACCAAATATATTTATATACACTATACTTCGATATAGTCACCTGTAGTTATACCTACAATGCATGTATAATACATACATGCATGTCTACCTATAGAGTATCATTAGGAGACACTAGTAAAAGCATATATTTCGCTAACAAGGGTTCTGTACTATATAATTATGATCAAGTCATAATTGAAGTCAACGCATACACATGCATATATTACACTTACCGAACGTTGGTCAGAGAGAGAATATCATGAACGCCGATACAGTACTATGTTTTCCCTATCTATATACAGACGAACTGTATTGTGGTGTTATATAATGTAGCCGCACACAGCTCACTAGATTTGCTTGTTGTTGTAAAAAAAAGAGACAAAAGGAGACAAAATAAGGCTCTTTATACGTCCGTACATGTGCAGGCACTAAATCATTGATTTCCACGCACGAACAGCGTACAAACTGAGAGTAGGAAAGCTGTGCCAATCTGTGCAAGCATTCAATAGAAGAACAATTCGCGGTTTGTTTACACAGAACTTGACCCGGTATAGGTTCAAATCATAACGCTCCCTCCCTCTCTCTCTCTCTCTCTGTCTCTCTCTCTCTCATTTCTCTATCCCTCTCTAATATTTTTTTTTCTCTCTCTCACACTAATTTTTCTCTCTCTCTATACATCCCTTCCTGTCTCTCTGTCTGCCTGTCTCTCGCTCCCTTCCTCTCTCTCACTCTCTCTCTCTCTCTCTCTCTCTAATGTTGTTTCTCTCTCTCTCTCTCTCCCCGGGACATATTAATAACCCCTGCAAAGTTCTACAGAATTTGCTGCAAAAGGGATACACTTCCTTTAATAGATGAAAATAAATATTTGCGTGAAACTTATCAGTACAAAAACCTATGTAATAAATAGACATAAGGAATTATCTTACATTATTAAACACCTATAAAGATACGCTGCTCAGGCATCAAACACAGTCATTGCAATAGATTTCAATTCTAGCTTTGAAGGAAAAAAATTATCATCGTCTTACTGTACCCGCATACGAGCACTAAAAAATCACGGGCATAGAAATATGGAATACAAGTTTATTGCATTAATTATTTGTACAAACCCGGCCCCCCACTCCGGGGTCGGAATGACCCCATGCGTGTTACCAAAATGTCCGGTAAAGGGGTACTTTTCGTGCGACAAAGTCCGGCCCGAGAATTGTAAAAAAAAAGGGTTTATTAACTTTTCACCCGGAGATTTCTTTAAAAAGGGGGGTGTTTTTTTTTCTTTCTCTCTCTCATCTCTGTGGACTCCTGAGAAATAATTCCGAATTTAGGGGGGTACATTGAGCATTTTTCATGATTTAGGGGGTCTCCAAGGCAGGGAAAGCCCGCAAAAAGCCCGCGAAAGGGGGTTCAGAAATGTTGGCAGTCCTCAGATAGGAGGTCAGTGCTTTCAAAAAGAGGGAACGAGCATATGCGTACCCTAAATAACACTGAGTGGGGGGGGGGGGGCGGGTGTACAAAAAGGCAGTTTTGCATAAAAAGAGGCAATAAAATTTTAATCTAGATTCAAGATTGCAGGACTCCGTCTTATAATGAGTTGCGATTGATCCAAATCAATCGCAAGTCCTCCACCCAATCGCAAGTTTACAGTCCCCTATCTCTTTTGTACATAGTTACGATTAATATTAACTCTTTATAACACGGGGCCCGGGTGTATTTATGTATTCAAGGGAACCCTGATTCTATTGTTAACGAAGAATATAAACGAGCTTTTACAAATTAAAAAAGATATAAGATTTGCATCATGCTTTTCCTAGAGGGCTTTATTTACTTCTCATATCAAAGCGGCTTGATCAACATGCCTCAAAAAATTTGATTATGGAAATTAAATACTAAACTATTTTTGACAGACATGGCGCGTTACAAATGTTAAATATTATTATTATTACGTGTAAGCTAATAAACGAAATATTATTTTCAAAATTCTGATCTAGTTTGTTCATAAGGAAGAGTATTTTCATCAATATCTTACAATATCATGCCATTGTGCACAGGTTACGAGACATATTTTCTTTGGAGAAAGTTAAAATAAAAATTTCCTTTCATTTGTATTTTTTCTAAAAGACAATAAGCTCTCATAATATTTATACTGTAGTATACATCTACATCTAAGGTGGTACTGGACAGGACCAATTGGTATATACGTCCAGATTTCCGTGGCATCGCAAACTGTCATCAAACATTACAACTAAGGGTGCAGAGTTCAAAAATAAAAATAAAAAGGTGCTCATAAATACAAATATCCATGCGTATTTGCGTGTGTGTGTGTGTGTGTGTGTTTGTTTTTTAAACATGAAACTCCTATTCATTTTATACATACACACACACGCGCACGCACCCACACACACACATACACGCACACGTATGGGTAGCCTTTCCATTGAATGAGAACATTGTTTGAGAAAATAGACCTGTAACCTGATCACCTTTATCTTGGTTACTGTCAAACGTTAATGTTATGTCATAATCATACTAGTTATTACCTGTTCCATTTTTCTAATTCTTGAACGGAGTGACGTTGGATAAAAATCAAGAAATTCTATCCTCATCGTTCTACAGCCAGTCATTCCACCATCTCTTTTACAAGTTCAGCTTTTTTAAATCTCTCAATTGTTCTTTTTTTCTTATAGTGTCTATGCTCTTGGTTGAGCGTATCGAATTTAAAATAATCCGGTGCCTGATTTATCCCTCTCTACATTTCATTCCACCTATAACGACATATTTTCTTTCGATATGATAGAGTTCCGATATTTTGTTAGCTGTAAAGAAACACAAAAACACGAAGAGTATTTTTACTTCACAAACTGAATAACAGACAGGTTATAATTCATGAAGTGTACACATGCACAATGGTACCCCCGCCCCCCCCCCCCCCACTCAGTGTTATTTAGGGTACGCATATGCGTGTTCCCAGCACCCCCCCCCCCCCTCCTTTCAGCATAAGTCCGGTGTGTAAAGTCAATACGGGGAGACCTTTTTCTTTTGTTATACGAGCCTTTTCAGCACGACCTCCCCCTTTCAGCATAAGTCCGGTGTGTAAAGTCAATACGGGTAGACCTTTTTCTTTTGTAATGAGCCAAAGATTTTGGGAACACGCATGCGGTCCCTCCGTTCCCGGAGTGGGGGGGGGGCGGGATGGTACCCACTTCAGTATTTGACGTAGTGCCAAAAAAAGCGCCACGTTATCAAATGGGGAATTCCTAAAAAAATTAACTCTAAGAATAATAGGCAGAATAATGTAAGGGATTTACGCGCAGGGTCTGTACAAAAGTAGTTTAATGGCACAGTATAGGTTGTCATCACAATAGTGTGCATGAAATCCCAACCAAGCATGAAAAAAAATCTATTGATCTACAGTAGACTTGAAAGGTGTTTGCCATCTTTCTAAGCAATGTACACATTTTCGTTATATCATGAATGAAAAATATTTGCATTACGATTTACAGTTCACTGCACAGGACTTTGAAACTTGTTGAAAGCGACAAAAATAACAACTGCACATTGCGAGAAAAATATATATGTGGTGGTTGCTTATGCTTGTAACATGCAGAATGCAACTGGTTTTTCTGCAACAAAAGATTAAGAATGTTAATAGTAGTCGAGCGTAATGGGAGAATTAGACGATTAACAAAAACTGTGCTAGATTTGGATGTCTGGTAAACCGGTGCTTCTGCAAGTATGGAAGACATGAATCAAGAGCTTCATGAGGCAGCATTGAGGGGTAAAATTTAAAGGTTCTACATATGCCAGACAGACGAAGACGGAAACACACCTTTACACAGGAGACCGTCACTGAGTATCTCATAAATAAATCATGGATCTGATGTGAAGAAGGTTACTCCAGATGGACAAACACCCCTACATCTCGCTGCATCACTCGGGCGTCTTAAAGCAACCGAAGTTATAGTCAGTCATTGAGCAAATACGGACATAGAAGACAAAAACGGCTACTCTGCATTACACAAAAGGGAATCATGGCAATAATAAATGCATTACTCCTTCAAACATTGCAGCAACGTATGGTCATTTTGATGCCACCGAAAATCTCATTAGCATAGGAACTTAGGTGATAGAATGGATGTGGGTATGACTGCATTACAGCGTGCTGCTGAATATCGTCAGCTGGATTACAACAAATATCTCATCAGTCAAGGAACTGATACGAATAAGGGAGATACTGACGGAAGGACAGAATTACATCTTGCCGCTTTCCATGATCATCTTGACGTCACCAAATATCTCATCAGTCAAGGAGCTGATGTGAATCAGGGAGATAATGACGGTGTGACTGCATTGCACAGTGCTGCTCGGGATGGTCATCTTGATGTCACCAAATATCTCATCAGTCAAGGAGCTGATGTGAATAATGAGAGAAATGATGGTTGGACTGTACTACACAGTGCTGCTTGCAATGGTCATCTTAATGTCACCAGATATCTCATCAGTCAAGGAGCTGATGTGAATATCGGAGATTATGATGATTATACTGCATTGCATGGTGCTGCTCAGGAGGGTCATCTTGATGTCACCAAATATCTCATCAGTCAGGGAGCCGAGGTGAATAGTGGATCAAATGACGGTTGGACAGTATTACACAATGCTGCTTTCAAAGATCATCTTAATGTCACCAAATATCTCATCAGTCAAGGAGCAAATGTGAATAAGGGAGATGATAACGGTATGACTGCACTACACAGTGCTACTCAGGAGGGTCATCTTAATGTCATCAAATATCTCATCAGTCATGGAGCAAATGTGAATAAGGGAGATAATGACGGAAGAACTGCACTACACAGTGCTGCTCAGGAGGGTCATCTTGATGTCATCAAATATCTCATCAGTCATGGCGCTGAGGTGAATAGTGGAACAAATGACGGAAGAACTGCACTACACAGTGCTTCTCAGGAGGGTCATCTTAATGTCATCAAATATCTCATCAGTCATGGAGCAAATGTGAATAAGGGAGAAAATAACGGTATGACTGCACTACACAGTGCTACTCAGGAGGGTCATCTTAATGTCATCAAATATCTCATCAGTCATGGAGCAAATGTGAATAAGGGAGATAATGACGGAAGAACTGCACTACACAGTGCTGCTCAGGAGGGTCATCTTGATGTTATCAAATATCTCATCAGTCATGGCGCTGAGGTGAATAGTGGAACAAATGACGGAAGAACTGCACTACACAGTGCTGCTCAGGAGGGTCATCTTAATGTCATCAAATATCTCATCAGTCATGGAGCAAATGTGAATAAGGGAGATAATGACGGAAGAACTGCACTACACAGTGCTGCTCAGGAGGGTCATCTTGATGTCATCAAATATCTCATCAGTCATGGCGCTGAGGTGAATAATGGACAAAATGACGGTTGGACAGTATTACACAGTGCTGCCTTTTATGGTCATCTTGATGTCACCAAATATCTCATCAGTCATGAAGCTGATGTGAATAAAGGAGATAATGATTATACAGCATTACACGGTGCTGCTCAGGAGGGTCATCTTGATGTAACCAAATATCTCGTCAGTCACGGAGCTGATGTGAATAAGGGATATAATGACGGCAGGACTGCATTACACATTGCTTCCCAGAAGGGTCTTCTTGATGTAACCAAATATCTCATCAGTCATGGAGCTGAGGTGAATAATCGAAGAAATGACGGTTGGACAGTATTACACAGTGTTGCCGTCAATGGTCATCTTGATGTCACCAAATATCTCATCAGTCAAGGAGCTGATGTGAATATCGGAGATACTGACGACTATACTGCATTGCACGGTGCTGCTCAGGAGGGTCATCTTGATGTCACCAAATATCTCATCAGTCAAGGAGCTGAGGTGAATAATCGAAGAAATGACGGTTGGACAGTATTACACAGTGCTGCTTTCAATGGTCATCTTGACGTCACCAAATATCTCATCAGTCAAGGAGCTGATGTGAATAAGGGAGATAATTACGGCAGGACTTCACTACACAGTGCTGCTCAGGAAGGTCATCTTGATGTCACCAAATATCTCATCAGTCATGGAGCTGAGGTGAATAATGGAAGAAATGACGGTTGGGCAGTATTACAGAGTGCTGCTTTCAATGGTCATCTTGATGTCACCAAATGTCTCATCAGTCTAGGAGCTGATGTGAATGAGGGAGATAATGACGACTGGACTGTATTACACAGTACTGCTCAGGAGGGTCATCTTGAAGTCACCAAATATCTCATCAGTCAAGGAGCTGATGTGAATAAAGGAGATGATGATGGCAGGACTGTATTACACATTGCTTCCCAGAAGGGTCATATTGATGTCACCAAATATCTCATCAGTCAAGGAGCCGATGTGAATAAGGGAGATAATTACGGTAGGACTTCCCTACATAGTGCTGCTCAGGAGGGTCATCTTGATGTCACTAAACATCTCATCAGTCAAGAAGCTGAGGTGAATAAGGGAAATAGTGAGGGGAGGACCCCTTTACACCATGCTGTTCAGAATGGTAACCTTGATGTCGTTAAAGTCCTTCTGGCAGGAGGAGCACGTTCTGACACAGGAGACATCAACGGGCAAACACCTCTACAATTGTCTTCATTCTTGGGGTATCAAAGCATCGCTGATCTATTCATCGACCGTTCAAATTCCCAGGTAAACATATTAAAATCCACTTCAGTTTAGTCGAATTCATCTTTCATGATGTATTCAATACATGCACGTAGGATTTAATTAAGTGTATATTGGGCATGTTAGACATAGACTACCTATCACCATGTATTTAGTATTGACCAACTCGATTATTACTACATTTCTGTGACCAATATTTTATTCTTAAGGATACATAAAATACCAGTTAGACCTCAGTCCTGTTTTGCCACCCTTTGTTTATATACATGCATATCAAATTTCATAATGATTAAAAGCTTAACTTATTTCTGGATAATTGATCACCTGCAACTACTTTACGTTACCGAACTGGCTTTTGTAGCATTTTCTTTAAATCTGAAGTTTTTATGCTGCGTGTTTTCTTATATATCGACTAGCTCGATCAGAATGATTTAACGGATATCCATCTTGCCATCCAAAACGGTCATACATCCACTATTGAGAAGTTAGTTTCTGAGGGAGCTGATCTCAATGTCCAGTCAACTGACGGCCAGACATGTCTCCATAAAGCCATTAAACTCTGCTATAAGAGCAAGAAGGTTATGCATGAAACGGATACACTTCAAGAGGTGAGTTGTACCCCAGGAACACAAACGAGACCGACACTAGACTGACGAGAGTCTAAACAACAAATTACGTTACGGCCAAATATTGGTAAGTGTTTCGAGTCGACATGGAGTCGTTGTGGAGCTGTCACTGGCATACACTGCTCATCTAGGTCATTAGTGATTCCTAAAATATGATACCCATGATTGGCTAAAGAAAATGTGTATGTTGGTGTCTAGGCGTGTGTTCGTGCGTGTGGGAGAAGTTTACAACGTAAATAGATATTTCCACTTCTGTAAATCCAAGAGGCAGTGTTAGAATATGTTATTGATGGGCGATACTGTTCTGATATAAAAGTATATATTTGTTTATGTTTCAGATCTGTAATGAATATTACAGGGGCGAACTATCTCCTGAGAAGGCCTTGGTGTTTCATTTCCTAGAGAATGGAGCCAAGTTAGATGTGAGGGACACATCAGGCAACCTACCAATCCAATATGCCAAGGATGAAGTGGTCAAACAGATGATTTTGTCGAGGTGATACTGTTAAGTCTAAAAGAATAACATTTTGTCCCCGCCAGTTGTAAAACAAAGTAACGGTGTATCAAAATTTGTTTACCTTCCACTTTTGAGATTTGGTAACATCTTTTTTTATTTTTTTTGAAACTTTATTGTTAATTTTAAAAGTTGATTATAAATGTGTTTTTCAAACAATATTTTTTACATATTTTGTGACAATTGTGACTATTACTTTTTTCGAGGCATTTAAACTAGCTCATAAACTTCGCCCCTCCTTGTTTTCTTCTTATCTACTCAGATAGTCAGTATATATATATATATATATATACATATAAATGAATATATACATACATGTATACATTTATTTTTTTAACCGAATTCATTTAGAAGATACTGTCGTTCTTTTAATGTTTGGATTGTGTGAGAATTGTATTTTACCGCATGGCCAGGCCAAGAAATGCGTTTTTAAATATGATCCTAGACAGTCCTAAGATAAGTGTCTCTTTTTTTAAATAATGGTCCTCAATAAGTGTCAACAGTTGTTCGATTCATGGCAATATAATTTATGTAATTTTTCATGAGTTACAACGAACACACGTTTTCATAGCCCAAATTGTATAGTTATGACTTATCGACTTATTACATCTGCTGCAATTAATTTCAGATTACCTTCTTCAGAGGAGATCCAGTCTTATCGAGGTAAGAACGTTCTTCAAACACAAACAATTTTTTCAGTGTAAATGCTAAACAAGTGCGTTTTTTTTTCTTATTTATTAGGTCACATGCTAAAGTCTAACGATGATTTTTTTTTAGCTTTCCATCCCAAAGAACAAGGAATTTAATAATACATTGTCTGGGCCATTTACTTAATCGCACACATAACTCATTCACGTTTTCCCTACTGAAACTGCATTCGTATTCATGTATGAAGAACTTAAAGTCATCTTTCCATCAATTATCCAAATGCGAGAGATGAACGTTGAATGAATCCCAATTTAAAGAAGCGTATATAAATAAACAGATGGATATAGATAAAGATACAATATCGATAATTTATTATAGATTTACCATATACCCTTATTCAAATATTAAAAGCCAGGAGGGAATTTGGGTAATTAACTCGACCGTTGCAGTTGTAATAAAGTGAATCCCTTTTTCGAACATAAATGAGATGAAAACTATATTTATACATTGGTATGTCATTCCAATGACTATCTCGATCTGAATTTACAGTTACTTTGCCGATTATATTGGTTCTTGTTATTATGTCATTTCCTTATGTTGAAAATAAATAACAGATGAACCATCAACTCCTTCCATCGTCTCTATTGAAGTCGAAATGAATTCATGTCAGGAAATCAAAATGGAAGACCATGGCATATCACTGGATATTCCTCCGGAGGCTGTTCAAGATCAGAGTGACCCGTGCAAGATCACTTTAACCCTCTTACGAGACCCTCCCAGTGTTGACATCCAAGATGATGAATCAGTGGTCAGCTACGGGATCAGATGTGATCCTCCTAACATGATCTTCAACCAACCTGTTAAGATAAGGATACCGCACGCTACCTTGGTCATGAACCCTGATCGAGTAAAACCAGACATCATTTCCCGTGTATGGGATTCAGTCAAGGGTAAGTCTATTGGCTCAGATTAAGAAAATAACATGTTTTAATGCTGGGATAAACTGTAAATTGAAGCACCGAGATCCACTTTTAGCATGCCAAGTAATGCTATTTACGGTCACAAAGGTTCGTACGAACGATAATTTCGTACGAATCTCCCTGTTTTTCCATTGTCTTCCCGAATTTCCATTGTCTGAAAATCGTTCGTACGGCGTTCGTAGCAATTCGTAATGGCATTTGTGACCGAGGCTCAAAGCATGTCGAATTTGTAATACATTGTAGAGCCAGCGCCATGAACGTCCATTTGAGGCGTGATACCGGCGCTATAGAAAGAAGCCATCATCATGGCGAAAAAGCATTTCTCAACAAAAACGCATTTTGTTTTGTAACCCACTGACACCATGCAGATCTACCGAGAACATCAAGAAAAAGATCATCCAACTCACCAGCCGAACCACCATACTGCAGAATGTACAAGAGACATCTGGAGCTGTACATTGGAAACTGTGCCGAGTGGTGGGTTCTTATTCCTCTCGAACAACAGGTGATCCAACACCAACTTATATGCACTCCATACATCCCAGACAAGAAAGAGAGAGGACAAGAGTTTGAAGTTCACCTGCAGATGCATGCGGACCTTCCTGGGATGGAAACGGTCAGTAGCTAGAATGCACCTGATTATCGGCAATCAATCGTTGGAATTTATAACTTGCAACTACTCCGCACTTCACCAGTTCTTCAGGCAGTCTGATTTCTGTTATAGGGGTAGTTCGTCTTATTGCTACGGTTTGAATCAAAGTTTTCATGAAAATATAAAGGAAATATAGTTAATGTTTACTCGTTTTAAAGGATATGATCGAAAACCACAATGCTATCATATTTTGGAACCCTGTGATGTATGGTTCTTGAAATTTTCCCCCAATGAATTATTCAATTATCCGTGTCTTTAAACATCAACACAGAGCCCTTCATATATAAATGTATTCATCGCCATGGTTATAGAGGGTCAAATAAGTTTTGTATAACTTGCGATGTATGATTCTAGGTAAGATTTTTATAGGGAATTTACAATAAACTTTCCTTGTAGTCATATTCGCTTTTCCTTTGATAGGAGTGAATGAGAAACAAAGGCACGAATTATGAAAGACAGTTTTACTCTTAAACCATAGCATCAAGACACAGCCCGAAATTATTTGCATGAGTGATATCAACCAATTTTGTGTTCACGCAATTGATCATTTCCGTAATGAAATCAAATTTAATACACAAATCTTTGTTAAGTGCCTTGTTGCTAGTTTTTTTAATGAATAATTGTATTTCTATCGTCAGAGTGCGGATTGCATTAATTCTTTCTTGCTAGGTACACATCTTTGTCAAGTGCCCCCGTTACAAATAATTATATGAATAATTGTAATTTCAATAGGTAGAATGCAGGACAGGCGATAATGTGTTTATGTAGGATAAACACATTATCGCTTGTCCTACCTAACAACACGTAAACTATAAGATTCCCGTTCTGACTATTGAAATACAGTTATTCATAAAAGGCGAATGCTGTACTTTCTTTGAAAAAGGATATACAAGAGGAGGAGAAGCAGCAGTCGTACCACAAGAGCCATCGCTCCGTTCCCTTCAGTGTTGAGTCTAAGTCTGGTGACGTCACAGTGACGTGTTATCAAGAGGGCGCCCAAGTTGAAAGCAAGGTAATCAAAACTCAAAAGGATTTAAATGACGTGTCAATGTTTACTATAACAAGCTGTAGCAAATATATAACGTTTGTGTTTACATAGCAAATACTATATTTGATGATCAAGTTTTTTTCCTCTTGAGATGACTAAGTTTGATGTAAAATTTCAGATGTAAAAATGTCAGAGGTAACATTTCAGGTAGGTCTATCACTCTTACATCTGGCATTTATAACTTCTGCATCTACCTCTCCTTTTTACCTTCCTTTTCTGGCAACCTTACCCTGGGAATTTTTGCATTTGGTCCTATGGGGAAATGTATCCATGGTAAACGCAATCGCATCAGTTACAGGCAATGTTAATATCCTCGTATGAAACTTATTGAATTGTGTTAATTGTGAAATTATGACAGTAACGTTATTTCTATTGGAGGTATTGAAATCGTCCTTGAGCTGATTTATCGAAAAAGAATTGATCGTGTTGGTAATAGGAGATGATATGAATAAATGTACACATCTAATTTTCTTGTATCTTTCCTCGTAAATAAATCGTTTTAAATGTATTGTTGTTCTTTTTCTTTATTTCAATATCACAGGTTCTCTCTTTAAAGGATGTTAATGGCAAAATGAGACACAACATATCTTTGTCCGTGACTCCTACTGAGGATGATGAAGAATTCACAGGGATAACCATTACGATTACACAGGCTAGAAGGCTAGGGGTGTCTCGATCAATTGCTTTTATCATCAGACACACAGGTATATTTAGTCTCCCTTCATCATATTTTGTGCACTTAATGACAGCTTATCAGTTAGTTCGTGTTTAATAACTCAAGAGTATGATCAAAGATAAAAAGTGAAAATTGGGACAATCTCACGAGAAATGATATCTAACGCCTAGAGATAATTGCATCCGAGTGTATGTTTTTCAAACAGCAATGAATTCCCAAGATTATCCGAAGAAATGAAGCTAAATTATAATTCGGAATGGGTTTTTATTATCTTTTTGGTAAGATTTTCTGACAGTTCGTCATGAAATACGAAATGTGGGCATTTGTTCATTCGCTATTTTTGTAATGTTCATTTTCACAAGACTCCTCATACTTCTTATGTAGGTTTAATCAAGAGACAAAGGTTCAGCAAACTGTTTGCAACCTAGAGATGATAAGCAAAGAAAATTGTATAATGATAGTAATGATATTTTTTTTTAAATAGCACAAGTCATATTCTTATTTTCTCCTTTATTTGCCCTTTCTTCAAAATATTGTAGATGAACAGGAATATTTATCTCCTTCTGAGACCCCATCATTTGTTCGGTAAGTTTTAAATTATACATCATAGATGATAATACTTTTTCGTTTGAACACAACTACACTTCAGCTTTACTGGAATGGAAGTTTATACTTTTAAGAACAAGTGTGGAATAGATCAAAATAATACTTCTGTTTTGTTTTATATTTTTAAGACTTGAAGAAAATAATTAAATTTCAAGTACTTTTCGCATCTCATTATTTCTACGTTACAAAAGGTGATCAGAAATTGATTCGATGACATTTCTCCCTTTCAAGGCTCTATTTCGTCAGTGATATTGTTAGGGCCGATGAGGCAATCTAATTTTAGGTTGCGTTTATAGATTGGAATGGATGTAACATTTGGTCCTGAGTTGAATTTAGGCATTTGTGTAGTAAATAGATAACAATGCTGTTTAATTTAAACAAAGCTAGATGTATATCATTTGTAGGAATGAAACTTTATACTCTTTAAGAATTTGAAATAGACCAAACCAATACCTCTGTTTTTTGTTTTTCATTTCAGGACTCGAACAAAATAATTATGAATTCAAACAGATCACGTGAAAGAAGACCAAATCTTTATTTTCCCACCTCATTAATTTTTATTTTGCAAAGGTGATCCGAAATGGATTGGGTAGTAATTCTCCGTTTCTATTTCGCCGAATATATTCATAGGGCCCATGAAGCAATCGAATTTTGGGTTACGTTTACAAATCGGAGTGGATGTAAAATTTATTCCTGAGCTGAAGTTTGGGTAGTTAATTTGTACATGGTATACATATTCACCACGAAGCCATTGCCTTCGAAAAATTTGACGCGTAATCATTCCTTGGTCTAAAATATATGGACAAATACAAAGAAATTTCCTGCCATAAATCATTAGCATCAGGTTAATGTTCATACCTTTATAAACATCGTTTTAAAATAGTTTCAACAAAACGAATTTACCGGATCACCTTCACCTTATCTTGCAGGGCAGTGGAAGAAGTCCTGAAAAGTGACCTGCCGGACATTGACGTCCTTACAATAGCCCAAACAATGACAGTAGACCAGTTCTATGATTTGGGAGTAGCTCTCGGTTTCACCATACAACAACTGGATGTCATAGAATACAGGAGGTTCCGTGACAGAGAGCAGGCCATCTATGACATGTTGGTGACATGGAGAGAGAGACAACCGTCCGGCCATGCAGCAAGGGAAATGTTTCTCCCACTCATGGAATCATTAGATTCACCAGCAGAAGAAACAGCCATCTCAGGTTTGACTTTTAAACAAAACATCTGTTTGTCTTTTTGGTCGATGTCCATTTTACCCTATAATTTACTGGAAAAAATGAATCAGAATTGTATGGCATACTGTATGACATATTGTTTGACATAATGGCACCTCATTCAACTTGTATTTCCGTGTTGTGCGCTGGATTTATGGTTGAGTATAGAATTAAGAGTAAGTTACAGTAAACCCATTTCGAGACTCTAACGGCGCATAACAATCAATACATAAGAGCTCTAGATTAAACTGTTAATAGTACGTTGAACCAAGGGCGGAAATGTAGTGACAATTAAGTATTTGAGTCATTTCAAGGTATTACAATATACAATACATGTCCTTTTATTCTACAACAGAAAAAAGAAAAAAATAAGGGGTGGGAAACTAAAAATAATACTGATCTAGTATTTGCGTATCATACATTTAGTAGAAGGGTGAGAGTAGAACGTGCATTTATTGGCTTGGAGTATTAAACGAGGCTAACGACTAGTTAGATTTCATTTTTTTTAAAATAAATTGTTTATTCTTACATTCTTATTCTTATTTGTTTTTATCTTTATATCTTTGTGTTCCACTTCTGCTTCATCTACTTGCATCAGACATTGGACTAACTGGGTAAGATTCTAATTTATATCAAGTAAGGTGTTGATAGAATCGATATTGAACGTCGGTTTTAGTGCTATTTATTTCGCCAATGAAAATAAACTGGCTGCAGTATTAGGAATACAAGACGGTTAATGTGAGGCATATGGTTTAAACCAAAACTATCATAAAACAAAAGAGCTATTATAAGTCGTATGTTCATACGTGTTTTTTCCCCACAACTTACAATAAATTAAAACGGGCAGGCAGAGAGAGAAAAAAGAGAGAAAAGATTTACACACACGCACGCCCCCATACTAATAACTTGAAACACTCACTATTTGAAGAAGCGAAAAAATATACTTAGACTTTATTCAATGATACAGAGAAATTCCTGACAGGACACTGCTTGCGTTCGCCCGTCAGATCAAACCAAAGAAGTTCTATGAGATTGGTGGGAAGCTGGGATTCAACATATCAGAGTTACAACACATCGAACATCGGACATTATGCAACAGGAAAGACGCTAACATCCAAATGCTCTCACGTTGGATAGCATCTCAGACTTCAGGGCCTAAAGCAAGGCATACACTGAAGCTGGTTTGGGAGTCTGTGCAGGACGCATCGAAAGCAGAGAAAACCAAGGGTATCATAAATCACTAGTCTTCTACTGCTCACAAGTACAATATCAGAAGGAATCATTAAGTAAAGTTCATTTCGGAATAGTTATAACTTGATCTAGTTTATTGGCCTTGTGAATGTACGCTGTCGCTCATATAGTTGGAATATTTTTTCTTACCCCAATTTATGGAATTATTTTAAAATATTTTATTCCTAATAGATCCATATAATAGTATACATTCTCAGATTTTGTTGAATAATAATTTGCCAGTGTTTGTTTTCCGTGACTGCTAAAGCATGTGTATGCTAATATGCTTATCAACTAGGGGATCTACGTCCTTAAGTCATAAATGACAGTAATGAGGTTTAATGCCCCACAGAAGGGCACTAAATAAACTTTATATTGTATTTAAAACTATTACCACTGTCAATTCCTCGTTGTGTTTTTTTTTGTACCACATATTTTCTTTATGCTTTATCATAATGTTTGCTTTTATGTTCTGGACAACTTTCCTTTGTCAAGCCTCTGTATGTTCAGTGTGTTAGATCCTTCACACTTCTTCATGTAAACTAAATTGTGAAGGATCTAAACATCATTAACATAAATTTAAAAATGCGTTTTTGATGGTGAAAGTGAAAGAAAGGTAATATTTACCGCTTGTTCAGCCAGTTTCCTGACTTGTACAGTTACGTAAAGATTGGGCAGTGCGTGGAGGGAGTATAATTTCAATAATGATTCTAGTGTCTACATGATTGTGTTGTATCAGCTTCTAAATTGATGAGGATATAAATTAATGTTGGTATTATTAATGGGGTCGTTCACATTTTGTTAATAATTTGTTATTACCACGAATCAATACTGCCTCAATACATTTTATTAATTTTCAGAAAGTGAAAAGGGCATTGCTCTCTTGAATACGGAAACTGCTGGCAGATCTCAAGCTTTAGTTGACGAATCAGATCAGTAAGTTAAAGTTTTCATGGGTCTATCACACAAATTAATTTCATGTGCTGATGCTTTTATATATATCTTACAGCGGCATTTTTTCCCGCTCAACTTCGTAAAATCAGCATGCAATTTAACATATACTGAAAATCGATTTATGTTCCCTGAGTATTTTTTTTTATATCAAAGCTTACACCTAAACGTATGCATCAAATTAACAAGGAGGTAACTAATCTCGTCGCCAACTGTAAAAGGTTCGTTTGTTTGTTTGGACTTTTTTGTTGTTTATGTTTGTTTACACAGAGTTACTACGGACGCCGAGAAGAGCGATTATGACAACCTTCCGGAAAAGGCGCAAAGTGATAGAACAGATAGTGCAAAGCCAATAAAGGACACCTTAGGTGAGATTCATTTATGCATGGTGCAGGTGAATATTTTTCTGACTGATCACATAGATAAATTCACCTCCAAATGAAGAATTCGTTGATTCATATCATTTTGATATATCTGAGGTCACAGGCAAGAATCCCCGACCCGGCGTCAGATCAACGGTAAAAAACATGAATTTATAAACACCACAATTTGTTGATAGTCAACATCTATTGCCTTTATAGACATCAAATCGTTAATTCACTAATTCCCTTTGTCTTTGACTGTATCCTCTTTACGTTGTTATTTTTGCAAATGCAACTAAAAATGTAATCAGTCTGGGAAATGAAACTACATGTTCATTTGTACATGCTGTATCTCTAGCAGGAGATTCTCGCCTAATACGTCAGAGCTTGTAATATATATATATTTATTGTACAGCATGCTGTTAATACATATATTTGCATTGCTGTTTAATATCAGATGGTAGATCTGCAACTAGAAATTTTGGGGCCCTTGGAGGAAAGCTGTCTACCAAATCCCATGGGTTTACACTGAACATTCCACCCGGTGCTCTTGAGGAAGAGGAGGAAATCAGCCTTCAGGTACTAACAGAGATTCCAAATGGCCTCACACTTGAAGCGGACGAGCTTCTAGTCAGCCATGGCTTCCAGTGTTACCCGTCTGGGCTACGGTTTAAGAAACCGGCAAAGCTGATAATACCTCACTGTGCATTAGTCACTGCTCCTAACAAAGTACAGACCATACTGTATTCTTGGAATCAGTCAGGTACTAACTAAATCACGTTTTCAGTCTTTTCGCAAGTATATACTTGTTCGGGCTGTGTGTAACGAGAAATCCACACAACAGTTTGTGAATTGGCATTTAATTTACTGGATTTACCCCCACATTGACATAGGCCTTGAACCCGATCCCTTATCAAGCAAATTTTGTACGGAATGAATTAAGGATAATCTTGTATTCTAAGATTTTCTTTCATATTTGTGTAGGTAAGTTGGTGCATTCGACCCTGCAAATAAAGATTATTTGCGGCCGTCATTGGCACTGCAGACTTTACATCATTTAACCTGTTTAATGTGAGGGTATACATAACTCCCTAACTTTTAGATTTTCGGATGTCGGTATCGGGTACGTCAATGCTTTAACAAAATTCACACAAATGCTTACAATACTAAAGTCAAGAACTCAAGATTCGTCATGATATGTTAAGAGTGGTTTTCAGAATGGGTCATAAATTTCGACAGCCATTCAAGACGTAATATTTACAATTTGGTAACAAAATTACTAGCAGAATTCACTATACCCTGACGTTCATTATTTTGTGTTGTTTCCTACTAGTTCTATCAACGAAAACATTTCAAAACAGGGCCTGAAGAATGGCAATGTTGCCCAAAATAGCTTTATGTGAGGATTTTGATTATCATGCCATATGAATCCATTTATATGTCATGATCCACCCATTATGATATTTGATTTGATTTGATTTGATTTATTTATTTCTGTTTGATTTTCTTTTTCTTTTGCATTTTTACAGATATATAACAAACAAATATTGCAAATTTACACATGACAAAAGAATATATGTAGAATAAAGTAAGGCTGGCAAAGCTTGATAGTATGACTACCCTCAAAAGATACATAATAATACAAATATGGAGGAACAAAATATTGGTAAAAGGGGGAAAAGACAGAAAAAAGAAGACAAAAAAGAAAGAGGGGATGCACATCAATATTCACAGACTTATGTGGTGGTTGGTTTTTCAATTTGATATATAAAGATATTTTTTTTAAAGAAAAGAAAATGCAAATTTAAATATTGAGTGGCCAACTTGGGATATAATACAATGAGAAGACTCGCGAGGTTCGGACAGTATGAATGTAAATGTAAGATCAGCCAGCTGGTTTTAAACCTGGGCCTGCGAGTCGGAGCCTTGAAATGTTTGTATAGAAGACAGTGTTTATTCAGTATCCCAAGTAGGCCACTCTTTATTCATACGTTTATTCATATTCGCATCCCCAACATTTCCACAACTTAAAATCAATTTTATGGTTTCAGGGTCTCTTTGCAAACATTTCACAGTGGGTAGTTTGGTATAAGAATAGATGTATCACGGTCATCAGAGTTTTTTTTCTTCCATTAGCAGATTAAGGCCTATGTACACTCATGCTTTCTTCCCTTACTAAAGGGAAATGCATGCTAAAAATATGTCATAACAATTGTGTTTATTGAAAAGAATTGACAAATATTTGGCAAGGCCTCGACCTCATTTTCGCCAAAATTATGTCTTTTGTAGTATAAACAAATATATAATAAAGTAAGTCTCGTTATTGTTGTTGTAATTTTCCCTCCTGAATCGTAATCCAGTCGCCAAAATACGATGCATAATTATGTTTAGCCTAATGAGCTCAGAAATTTCCCAATATTTAAGTCGTTTCCTGTCATTTTTTATTGAATTTAATTCGTTTTGTTCTATTTTAAAGGTACACCTAAACGGCTTCCAGATTGCTCCAACATTATTTGTTCAGTACAGGAACAGTGGCTTGAGGTCTCAATCAGCCATTTTTCTGGAGGTTTCTTTGCCGTACTTTGGGACTGGCTATTTCCGAAGAGCATAATACTGTCATGCATGGCGTTCCTTCCTAGACTCATGCCTTTCTCCAGAAAACCAATTTTGGATGTTAGATTCGTTAAGAAGCCACATGGACAAAATTGGGTAAACAGACATTAATACCACTTTTGGTAGCGTATTTAAGCCTGATCACTGCAGGGCGTTATTGTAAAGCAGTTCTTTTAAACTGGATGACCTACCCTGTTTTTCAAAGGAGACGCGAATACAAAATAATAAAAATAAAGGATTTGAATATCCTAGCATTAATGGTGAGGATGTGATAGAGTCTCATTAAAAAGTTATGTAGCAAATTAACAGTTTTCGAACCTTGTCATATTTAAAAAAATGAAGCACATTTATCACTTAACCATAAGTATTTGTATGTTAAAACGAAAAGTTAACCTACTTCGGAATCTTTTGGTTCTTTTAATAACGAAATGAGTTCCTTTTTGTTTGTTGGTTGTTGCTCTTTTAGTCTTGGTCGTAAATATTCATCTAGCATGGTCTAGTCAACATTTTGAAAACTCAGTGCATTTTAGAATATACCTTGTAACTTTTCCCCTTTCATAGTATCAATCAACCGAATGTAATATCCCGATGCCGAAAATATACATTTTGACTTATCTATGACATCTCTAATCTGAATAGAAAGCCCTAGCCCTATACGGTTCTGGCTGTTTCTCTCAATCGATGCCATTTTGGACATCATCTTAGTTTTCCGATTTTCCCGACGGATAAGGCCTATTTTCACTGGTCTACAATAATTGGTTGATCCATGTAATCACATCGATTCCAGCGTGTACTTTAGTAAAAATACACCTCAATCCGAGAAACAAGTGTACATATAATTTCTATCTATTTGACGATTTCCAGATAACTTATCAGAATGCTGTTTGTACACATGATTTTCCCAGAAAGATGTCCATGAATTAGATGACCCCCGTTTCCAACATGTGAAGGGCGATGACGATGATATTTTGTTTCTGCAGGGAACACTAACAGTCGCTTGCCAGCTGGGTGAGAAGAGTCCCGAATCAGAGGTACATGTAAGCGTACTTTGGTTCTGTGAATTGCTATACTTAGTTAAAATAAATTGAAACAAGGGCCATGTGGAAACAGGAACAGTTCGTGATAAAAGGTAGAACAGTCGATGTAGAGCCGACAGTAGAAAAGTTGTAACAAAGTGCCAACGAACTCAATTGAATCATTCTGATGGTAATGATAATGATAACAAATATACATAGACCTACGCTGCTAGGAATATATATATATATATATATGTATATATATATATATATATATATATATATATATAGGCGTGAAGAAAAAGGTCTAGGAACGTCAGAGTTGAGAATTCTCGCACTTTTATTTATATATATATATTCTTTTTACACATACACGGAGCAGGTTTCTTGTAGTAAGGAAAAGACGTGACGTAAACACACACATGTATTAATTTATAGCAAGCGAACGAGTGACGATTTTGAATGCCGATTTGACGAAATTCACTGAAATATGACGAAATTGGTTCATGCAAGTTTACGTTGGTAACCGGGCATGAAGAAATTGAATATATCTTGAAGAAATTAGATGCGAAACGATGGAATTGCTTGGAAAAAGCTGGAAAAGACAGATGATTTTTCTTCATTGTTTTAATCAGTACTCTCTACATATATGTGTTTTGGCTCATATTTCATACAATCATGAATGCAAATTAATTATATAATTGGGCAATTCCTCAGGCTATTCAGTTCAGCGACATGAGGTCGCAAACAAAAGTGACAAAGTACTTTGATCTCGATCTTACCGAGGAGAGGAAGGAGACATTGGTGACACTCAAAGTGATTCAAAACTCTACACAGACGATCAAATTCAACACACGTTTCCAAGGTAAAACATTTCATGCAGATGCATATCAATATTGAGTATTAATATTTAATTGCTAATCACAGAGGACCTATTGCGGCAAAATGACATAATATTGGTATTTTGCACGGTACAAGAACCCATTATTATTATTATTATTACAATTCGACCTGTGGACAGGTGTATAAACCCAACACAAAAATGAAATGATCGTAATAATGAAATAAGTAGAAGTTAAAGTTAAGCGACTTTACCATCAAACCTTGATATCATGAAGTATAATGTAGGCCTATATTTATTGACTTTTCTTTTGTATTATCATTACTAAGATTTAACTCTAAGCATAGTAAAGGCCACGACTGATTCATATATTCCATTCGACCATAAATTATGGTGAAGACGAAATTAAGATATATTACCTGTAGATGAACTAAATCATGGACGAAATGAGTTTGGACCAAATAGTTCTTGGAGTAATTGGGGTTCAGACCATCTTATTGAAAATGGGAAATGGACCGAATAATGATGGACCAAATGGTTATTGGATCAAGTCATAATTTGTTTTGATTTGAGGAAAGAGCAATTAGAACCACGTGGTTATAAATGTGCCCTGCTTACTATTTAGACTAAATGATGATTGTACGAAACGTTGACTGAACCATGTGTATAGTGAAAAATGTGTATGTATCGACTAAAGGAAGGTATATGATCTGGGTATTGGACCAAGTGGCCTTTGGTCGAATGTCAATTATTGTTAACGTCATATGTGTGAAAACATGGGATCATGTATATAATCCTTGTTAACATACGAAAGCTTGAAATGGAGACGTGGGAATCTCAGGAAAAGGTACATGTAGGAAATAGAGGGAGGCTGTATACATTAGATAAACAATATTGAAAAAGAGTCTTGTGCTTACAAACAAATTGTAACCGGTGAATTTTACGTATACATGACAGGGATCGACAAAGAGACTACTGAACAAGACGCCTTTTCACCAGCCATCGACGAAATGTGAGTACAATCAAGGTAAACGTGTTTGCGTTTGTGTATGGGTGAGTGTGTATTAGAAGAGAGGAAAGTTTAGATTTTTGTTTGGATTTATAGAAAATACACAGAAATTCAAGAAATCATGATGCTCCGTACACGGAAAAAAAACAAACGCATTTATAGGTTTGTCAAGTAATTATTTTGTTTTATGTTGACAAATATTATTGTTGTGCATCAAATTATGCGCATCCTGATATATACAAAGTGATTAGTAATGTTGTATATATAACCAATATATATATGCCTATATATATATAAATATAAATACATTAAAATAAGACGATGGTTTAATGAATAATCGTGAATTGATGAAATAAAATTTAAACAATTATCAGTAATGGAAGTACAAACAAAAGGCTTTCCTTCTCTGTGTTGTGTAGTAACCGACTCTTCAGCTCGAATCATTTGTAATTGCTTTTGCTGTACATGTAAATGTGGAACAATAAACTTCAAACCAGTGAAATCGGTCGACTGAAATTATTAGATAAAAAGTAACATTTTCTATTTCTCCATGTAAATATAGACCTACTGAAGAATCCAGGGAGCAGGGTTTTGACGACCTTCTCAAGACAATAGCTAAGCGGATTCATAAGGTTGATGACATCGACAGTCTAGGCGGGGAATTGGGTTTTGAATCTCCGGAAATACAACGTTACATGCAAATCAACGAAAAATACCACAATGTTACATGCATGGGAACACTTAGTATGCTTCGGGATTGGAGGAACAGGACTAAAAGGTCCGAAGAACGTGAACAATTGAAGAAAGCCCTGATTGCGATTAATCACCTACGTCTGGCAGACGACCTCCTGAACGACGGTGGACATGGCAAGTTAGTATGAACTACGAAAGTAGAAAAAGTGCACCATGCATAAATGTCATTACGGTTGAATCTCCAATTTTTAAGAATGTAGTATGCAATGGCTCACTGGTAGAGCAATTGTGTAGTTATACCGGGAGATTCAAGGTTTGAAACCAAGTCGACACGCTCGCACCGTTTGATAAGGCATTAATCCACATTGCTATATCCCTCTGAGATTACTCAAAACATTCGGTCCCCTGGCTGCTTACTCCCCTGAAAACCCACCTTTTTCATAACTGTGATTACCCACCTCCTTCCTATTAAGTTAATTGTATTGAGCGTAATTATACTACCTTGCAGTTCATTGATATTGTAATTCTATTGAATAATGTTGTATGATATGTATTTTGATATGCATAATTATCATACTGAATGTGATAATTTGTATTAAAGTTGTATTTTAATATGCATAAATTATTATATTGAATGTGATAATTTGTATGTAGGTTGTATTTGAATATTTCACCTGGTTTATTGTAATTCTGAGTGCATATCTGGTTTATCTATACTTTCAATCAATTTTAATGTAGCCCTTATTTTTTTGTCATGTAATTTTTTTTATTGCCGTTTACTTGTAATTCAATATTTTTAACATGCTTCTTTAGTATCTCTCACTTTTCCTTCCTTTTCCTTTCTTCTTGCGTTTTGTATTAAGCGCTTTATAAATGTAATGTATTATTATTATTATTATTCGGAGCAGCCAAGTGAAACAAACCAACGAAACAATCAAACATGTTGTTAGCGATACAAATTAATGTTGCTGGATGAATCATAATCTTCATTACATTCACATTAGTCTTGATATTATAATGGAAATGTATTTTTCATATAATCTCACATCTAACTGTAGAGGTTACATGTCTGTGCGTATAGGATCTACACACTTTATGTGTCTATCCAGTTTATATTTATCTTATAGATATTATGGGTTGTGCCTTGAATGTGCATAAGTCTGGAGATTATGATAGTGCTGTTAAATAAAATTGGCCATATGATATGTTTTACACTGCTGATATAGGATGTGTCTGCATAGGTTTGCACATGTAATGTGAAATAAACATCATGGCGTATAGATTTCATATAATAATACATTTCAGTTTTGAGTTCACTTCATTCTATGCATAGGTCTGCACAATTTGTTGAATGTCCAGTATATATAACTCTTGTATGATATCAAATCTCGAAGTTGAGTTTAGATTTTTGAGTACAAGTCTGCACATGTTGAAAGTCCCATGGAAATAGATATCGTATAATATGATATCTCAGTCTTGAGTTTGTTAATTGTATATCCATAAGTCTTGACATAATGTCAAATATTTTTGAAATAAAATATTTACCTATGACTTTAGGTTGTTGTTCATAAGTCTGCACGTAATGTTCACTGGTATCAATATGATATCATAACTTACTTTTGATATTTGATTTATGTGCATAAGTCTGCACATTTGATTGCTGAAAGTCCAGATTTCATAAATCGTGTATTTACTGTTATGATTTGATTTGTGTGTATAAGTCTGGATTTGTACTGGTGCTTGTCGAATGTGCCTCTCTGCTTAGATTTCTTTTGTTTTGTCTGCACATTTTTATGATAAAAACATTATGTATAGCTAGTACTATATTTCATGATAAATGCTTTATGTATTACTTATACCATATTTACTTGTTTAGGAATGGTGTGCAGAAGTCTGCACACGGTATTCAATGTTCAATGTACATGTACTTCATATGATAGTATATCTCACTCTGTTGAGTTTAAATATGTAATTGCATCAGTCTACCCATTATAATGGTGAATGCCCAAACCATATATATTCCAAATGATATCATACTTAGATTGGATTTGTGTGCATAAGTCTGCATAAGTCTGCATATTCATTGCATAAGTCTGCACATCATAATGGTGAATGGCCATAGCATATATATTTTATGTAATATCATACTGAACTTGGAATTTTGTGCATAAGTCTGCACTATTATAATGGTGAATGGCCAAGGTACAGAAATGTCGTATGGAATCATATCACGATGTTAAATTCAGATTTGTTGTTTGTGCACAAGTCTGCACATCATAATGGTGAATATCCATTGCATAAATTAAATATGATTTTCTGAGATTGGATTTGTGTGCAAAAGTCTGCACATAATAGTGGTTAATATCCAATGCATATATTATATTTCATACAAGTAAACTGAGATTTGATTTTTGTGCACAAGTCTGCACATCATAATGGTGAATATGCATTGCATAAATATTTCATATGATATTCTGAGATTTGATTTTTGTACATTAGTCTGCTCATAATAATGGTTAATATCCAATGCATATATATCATGTATATCATACTAAAATTAGATAAGTGTGCATAAGTCTGCACGTCATAATGGTGAATGTCCATTGCATATCTAGTTCATATGATATCAAACTGAGATTCGATATGTTTGCCTAAGTCTGCACATTGGTCGTAAGCACTGCAAAATTCTATTATTAATTTCTCCCGTACTCTATTTGTGATTGGTTATAAATATAGAATCGCACAGAGTATAAAAGTCTGCACAAAACTTTGATTTATAATGTCTATCGTGAATTGGATGTGACAGTGCATATAGGCCTGCACATATTGAAGCAAACAAATGATATCATACTGAGATTAGATAAGTGTGCATAATTATGTACATCATAATGGTGAATGTCCATTGCATACATCTTTAATATAATGTCATACTGAGAGTTTATTTTATTTTATTTGCTTATTAAGCAAATAAATTAGGACTAATTAGTCTGCACATTTTTTTGTAAATATATATTTCATGTAATTTCATACTGAGATTGGATTTTTGTGCATTTTGGTCGAAAGCCCTGCAAAATTCCATCATTTCTTTTTCCTGTACATTCTTTTTAATTGATTCTAAATATAGAATTGCACATTGGATTTTTAGTCGATGATTATGTTGCACATGTTGAAGCGAAATGTATATTAATGTTTAATATATCATACTGAGATTGTATTTGTTTGCTTTAAGTCTACACAATTTTTGTATTGTTTCCATTATATCATATTGAAATAAAACGCATTTTTGTCCAGATTACTGCAAAATTCAATCCTTATTTCTCCTGTACTTTATTTTTGATTGATTTTAAATATAGAATTGCACAGAGTAGAAAAGTCTGCCTTAAACTATGATTCGTAATTTTCCATCATTAATTGGATGTGGCAGTGCGTATAGGGATGCGTATGTTTAAGCAAAGTCTTTAATGTAAGTTATTCTTCGCTCTATACCATATCCACCTCTTAAAATATCCTTTCAGGATTCTGCACCATATCTTGATGCCACTGGCGTACTAATGAGGGGGCTTGGGGACAGTTGACCCCCAAATAAAATTCAAACATGGTTTATTTTAAATTCGATACCAGTGGTTTACAAATGTTGCTGAAATGGCATAATTTTCCCAGAGCTACGGGGGCTTTGCCCCCTGAACCCCACCAGGGCCCTAAGGCGGGCCCTGGTTGCTCATCTGACCGTAATTAAATGCCTCAAACCCCTGAGCTTCAGGGGCTTTTGCCCCTAGACCCCACGAAGGCCTCTTAGGCGGACCCCTGGATGCTCATCTGGTTGTAATTTAGTGCCACCCCTGAGCTTCTCCGCCCCCAGACCCCACGCCAATTAGTGACCTGCCTGTGTCACAAATAAGGTATTAAAATATGCTCATCCGACCGTAATTAAATGCCTAAAACCCCTGTTCTTCCGGGGGAATCCGCCCCTGGATCCCTTCAACCCCCCCCCCCCCCCCGTTTAAATGCAACCAGCAACTGGCATGTAGTATGGGGTAAACTTCCTGTAATGCTATTTATATAAAGCGCGGCGTCTGTATTGAAATTGTGTGAAACATTTGTTCAATTGAATATGACTTACTTGCTCCAACATTTAATGGAAAAAATACCACACTGCTACAATATTTTTTAATTTTTATTCCAACAATTATTTTAAATGTGCAATGATTTTTCTTAGGTTTTAATATTAACGAAAAGGCTGGTGTAATGGTCACAATTACGGAGAGAATCAAAGGCCACATTCTGAATGGTAAAAATAATCAGCATTGTAAAATACTGTCAACATAATGAGTGACGTTTAATGAGTGTTACAATTATTGTTAATCTGAAAACACGGAAAGTAACACAGATGCGCTAATAACGATCAGACTACTTAGATACATATATATTACACATGTAATAGCTTTACAATTTGTTTGTATAATAAAATTACCATGTATTGACCATACAAAACTTGAAAATGAGTGGTCATTGTATGTGTCTTTCGTTTTGTTAAAGGTAAGCCTACTAAATTACAAGACTAAATCTTGCGGTGAAAATTACCATTACCAAAAGGTGATATGAAATAGAATTTAGGAATTATGACATAGATAGATAGAAACAAAGTACCTAATATATATATATATATATATATATATATATATATATATATATATATATTAACAAAACCAACCTAAAATATAGATACATGGAATACAGTTTGATCGCATTAATTATTTGTACAAAACTGTAGTTTTTAATATGAACAGGCAGGAATATGTTTTTCCAGATTCAAGATTGCAGGTGTATCTATGCAGTCATTGGAACCATGGTTCTATTGATAACAATTAAAGAATATGAACGGGTTTTTGCAAATAAAAATTATACGACTTGCATCATGCTGTCGCTAGAGGGCTCACTGTTCATTACTCGAATCAGAGCGGTTCAATCAGAATGCAATAAATATTTTGACAAAATAACTCTCACAAGCGAGCTATGATTGATTATGGAAATTAAATACTGCATCAACAACTACAGGATATCATTTTCTGGGTGAAAGTTGAACACGATATCAAATCAGAAAAAGTTCATTACATGGAATAATGAAACGAATTATTTACCCTCGATTCGTTGCTATAGCTATTGATCCCATGTAGGGATTAATGACAAAGAATTAGGCGAAAGTGCATATTGTCCCGCTTAATTATAATTATCAAGCTCTGACCGGGCAATTATGTTCGAGGATAGCAAATCATATCTACGTGCACGAGAAAGCGCGTGTCGTCAGACCCACTTTTCGTTTATAAGTCAAAGAGAACTCGAACGATTTCATTTTCTTTATTGTTGTTGCTGCTGTTGCTGTTGTTGTTGCTTTTGTAATGAGAGAATGGTGGAGTGTTAGTTTGTGAATTTAGGCAGCTTCATAATAATGTGACTATTATAAATTGATGACTAATGACAAATGATTCTATTAACGGTATGGTACGACTATGAGATTACTCTTTCCAAAAAAAAAATCAAAGTCAACAATAATTGTCCATTTTAATTATTATAATGTTACGGACGAACGTTCTAATGATAAATAAATAATAATAATAGCCTAATAGTCCACTCCAAATTTTATTAAACCGAAACGGAAATTCTTTTTGCCCAATTGATCGTGAGCCCAGCAGCCACTAAGCAGCGCCAGATCGACGTTGCTCTATCCCTAAAAGATGTTTGTCGAAATTCGGCAGTACATATGTTTTTAGACAACAATTCTTTAAAGGAAAATAAAAAAATCTTTCTTGACATAATCATTAAGGGACGGAAGAATATGCGTGTATGTGACAAAATCATTTATACAAAAGAATTCATAACCCTTCAAATAACAGCTGCATTTCTATAAAAAAGATATCAGGATATTATAACATAAGAGTAATCCTAAGCGTTACTGAAGGATAGTTCTAGAGCATTTTCAATTTCGAAGAAAAAAAACATGTTCTTACAGTAATTTTATTAAAATCTACAAATTAATGATATAAACTAATAAAAGGACTTAATAACCGTTGGTTTTCCTATCAACCAGTTCATCAACCTTTTAAAATATTCAATTGTAAGATAAGTGTGCTACGCAATGACGTACTATGTCATTCCATGGTCTTTCTGTCATTTACAACGCTATTTTCTAATTGAATATTTCATAAATCTGATGAAAATTTGATGGAAAACCTAATTTTTGGCAACTTCCTCATGTTAGTTTATGTATTGTATCATTAATTTGCAGATTTTTATCAAACTTTCCATAATTTTTTTTCTTTTGAAATTGAAAATGCTCTGAAAATTTCATTCCATAAAAAACACTTGGAATTTCCCCATACTGCGTCAATATAATATATTTACAAACCTTATTTTGACCTTTTGCCTTAAACAGCTGCCGTTTTATGATTAGAAAAAAATGCAAATATATCACTAACATAATTATTCCCAAAAGAATTATACGATAAAACTTCAATGGATATTTATGTTCTAATATAAGAACGCATTTCTTGCATTTAGTCCCCCTCTCCCCCCCCCCCTTCCCTCCCCCTCCCCTCCCCCTCTCTCTCTCTCTCTCTCTCTCTCTCACTCGGCCCTTTCTCTGTGTCACTGTTTCTCTCATAATATACAATGCTTCGGATTCATTTTGCTAAAGTTAGTTTGTGCGCGTGATGTATTGTATACAAAAATGTAGCAACTAATATCCAAATAAAACATACGTGGAGGCACTTTGACATGACGGACAAAGAAAGAGGACAAAATATACAGTTTATCAGGTAGACAAAGGAACATCCCTTCACTGCTATCATGTACAAATGAGTAAAACAGGTGAATATGGGTGTGACACCTGTTGTACACATTTTACATAATAGCAGTGAAGGGATATTTCTTTGTCTACCTGAGGAACTGTATATTTTGTCCTCTTTCTTTGTCCGTCATGTTCATAGTGAGGGGCCCGCCTTCATCTAGTAAGCGACGAAATGTTGGATTTTTTTTTACATTGTCACTCATTAATATTAAGTACGAACTCTGAATCTATGTAGCCTGTCTGATAAATTAGAACAGTATCGAAAGGCTTTCGGAACACAAGGCAATTTCACTAGCTTAGCTTGTCCATCTTCTATGCGAATATTACAATTAAAAGTATTACCTGTTCCGAAAATGATTTTTTATGGGATATATACTTTACTACCGTAATGGTATTGTAAATTGTTGGTAGGCTGATTTCTCGAAAGTCTATACAATCGTGTTATTGTGGCTATGGTGACCAAAAAAGAAGATCAAATCAAGTTTTCGCTAATCTGTGAGTGTAACCGCATTCAATACGAGTGGTGCTTTTAACATATTCATCAAGGGTGTTTTGAAGTGTGGATGTTTCGTACTAAGATAAGCGAATTCCTTCAACTGTTAAAGAGTAGAATGTCCTTAAAGCTCCACTTTACTACTTGTAGCTATTGCTCCCTCTATATAGAAAACAATGCCTAATTGGTGACCATTGGTCCCCCATGATCCTCTTTTTCTTATGTTAATTGGGAGCTGATTAGATGACATAACCACCTGTCAGTGACCTCGCTGTGTGGTCTAATCCCTCCTAGCCACACTAGTGTTGATAAGCTTTAACATATTCCTCAAGGGTGTTTTAAAGTGTGGATGTTTCGTACTAAGATAAGCGAATTCCTGCAACTGTTAAAGAGCAGAATGTCCTTAAAGCCCCACTGCACTACTTATATCTACTGGCGCCCTCTAAACAGCTAACAACGGTATAATCGGTGACCATTGGTCCCACATGATCCTCTTTTTCTTATGTTAATTGGGAGCTGAGTTGATGAGCTAGCCACCTGTCAGTGACCTTGCAGGGAGGTCTTATCCCTCCTGGATAAAGTAGTGTAGACGGGATTTAAATTGATTATTAACAGCCTGCCATTCGGTCGGTACTGACTAAAATTAGACAAGTTTTCATTGTCCAGAAGGTCCAACTGAATTCGACGTTACGAGTGGTGCACTGAAGCGCCCTCTAAACAGGTTCCTCAAGGATGACTTGAACTGCGGGTGCTTTGTACCATAGATAAGGGGGTTAAGACAACTGTTGAACAGAAGAAAGGCCATCGCTAACGGCGTGCCACTTGGTCCGTACTGGCCCAGGATGCAGATACCGTAGGGGATCACACACAGGAGGAAACCAAGGACTACGTAGAAGGCGTTCTTGGTGATCCGGTACTCGAGGGACCTTTGACGGTCACCCTTGTTTTGAGCGGCAGCGGTGGGATGGGTCTAATGTCAGTGCAGAAATAATATGAAAAAAATACTTTTAATATAAATAAATGACTGATATAAAAATTTCAAGATAGAATAACCAGGATAGTTTGTAAGCTACTCTGATTATTTTTGTATAGCACGTTACACCATCATCATTTAGATTTGGTGCATGATATTTTAGAGATATATTTATTCTATGTATATTTCTTTATTATAAGAGGCCCCTATTACTCAAGTCTTGGCTTTTAGGGGCACCCTGACCATTTACACTGTATCAATAATGTTCATACACGCATGATTTGTATATACTATTTTTAAATTTTAAATGGTTTAATAAAACGAATTGATTGATTGATTGAATGATAGAAATAAAGAATCCATCGTGCCATTTGAAAAAATGAACTCAGCTCTTTAACAGTAATATTAGGCTTTACAAATATATTGTTCAATTTGCATTAAATATACGCTCACGTTGCACTGGAAAATAAGGGTATTTCCTTTATCATTATTTATTCATAATTTTCTTCACTGTATTTCAATATCAAATTAATTGCACGAACCGGAATAGTGGCTGACGTTGAGGGCGCCTGAGATGTACCCTTGACAGCGTCGGGTACTGTCGCATCGGTTGTCGCAACCGGTGTCAAGGTTTGGCTGGTGACTGTAGCCGGGACAGCTGCTGCGGGCGGTTGCTTAGTCGAAGTGTTCTTCCACTTGTTCAGCCCCCTTTCGTGCTTGCGGACATGGATGTAGATACGGGCGTAGAAGAGAAGCACGAGCGCGAGAGGGATACAAGTCAATGATGTTGCCTGCAGGTAGCTATGTAACTGATTCTCTGAACCTTTATGACAAGAACAATTAAAGATATCCACCAATTTTTCAGCCCTCTGAGGAAAAAAATTAAACTGCAGTTGTGATACATTAGAGTTAAGCACCTCTAAGTGATCGAAGGAAGAATAGAAACATAGTCTCCATATAGTGCTTTATACTGCTTAAATTGAATTCCTACTAAAATATAAAATAATACTTTCCCTGTCGCTATTGAAAAGGCGACAGGTAACATTTTGTAGCTCTAGCGCCCACCACTTCTCATCTTTTCAAGGGTATTGCAAATACTTTACTTGATTCTAATATTCCTCCTCTGCTTTGATTTGTACTTTGTTGATGTACGTTTCTTTGTTTTGTTTTTCTTGGTTTGTTAGTTGTTTTTTTTCTTCTCTCTTTTGTAAGGTTTCGGATGGAGAGAGGGCTCTGTTGGCATTTGGATAGATATGAGCCTTAAGACTTGGAGTTTGCGTACAATTCAAAGTGAACTGATCAAATTTGATGTTTTGAAATAGACCTTCCTAATTTCTTACCATCTTCGTTGTCTTCGATGTCCGTACACACGTGCGGTCCCTCGTCATAACCCAGACGGGTGAAGCCACCGAGGAATGGGACCAAAATCACGCTGAGTGGGATGAGCCAGGTGACAATCAGAAAAAGCACAATATTCACCTTTGAAAAGATCTGTAAAACGATGATTCATCATGATTTAATGATAATGATATTGATACACCCTAAGTAATTAGGGTGCTGTTTTAACAACACCTATACATACCCGATGAAATCATGTTTGATTAACATATAGTATCGAGAAAGAAAAAAAAAGTGTGTGTGTGTGTGTGTGAGTGCGTGTGTGCGTGTGTGTGTGTGGGTGTGTGTGTGCGTGCGTGTGTGTGTGTGTGTGTGCGTGTGTGTGTGTGTAGGGGGGCTGCATGGGTTCAAATATCTTAAAATGCACCCGGGCCTCGATCGTTCCGGTACTAAAGGTTTTGGGCTTTTGACATTACTTATCATCCTGTAAATAATTTTTGCAAATTTTATCTTGTGGCAGGTAGCGGGTACATATTTTTTGTTTTCATAGGTTTTTATTCTCTTCTCTCATAAAGAAAATTGTACATAATTTATAACATTGTATACAAAATTACAAATAATCTTCACATAAGTCTAAATAAAAAAGGTTACAAATAAATGATCAAATAAAATATATTAGTAAATGAAGTTACACGTTTACAGATGAAAAATATTCACATAAAAAATAATATTTTCACATTTTAAACTAATCGCAAATACAGTTTTTACTATTTCCTCGACCAGCTTGTATATAAATTTCCAATTGTTTCCTTTGTTTTCCACAATATTTTTTTCTTCTTAAAATTTCCTTCAGAAAGAAAAGAAGGGTTATGATAAAATAAAAAAGAAGAAGATAAATGATAAAACAGAAGAAGGAAAAAAAAAGAGAGTACCTACCACCCCCGCCCCACACAACACTTAAACACATAACAAGTACCAGGCGCGGATCCAGGGGGGCGAGCGGGCCCTGCCCCCCCCCCCCCCCAAAAAAAAAAGGGGGGGAAAAGAGAGAGAGAGAGAGAGAGAGAGAGAGAGAGAGAGAAAGAGAAGGAAAAGAAGGGAAAGGGAAAGAGGAAGAAGAAAAGGAAAGGGGGAAAAGAGATCGGGGGCCGAAAGGGCATTGCCTCCCCCCCCCCCCACCCCCTAATCAAAATAACAAGAGAGAAGGAAGGAAAGGGAAAGAAAAAGAGAAGATAAAGGGAAGGAGAAGAAAAGAAAAGGGGATATCAGTTGCAATTTTCCCGCCAACAAGTTGTGGATCGGAAGGGAAGGGGCAAACGACCCTTGCCCCCCCCCCTCCTCCTCCCCCCCCCCCCCCCCCCCCCCCCCGCTTAAACAAAAAGAGAGAAAAGGAAGGAAAAGTGGAAGAGGAGAGCTAAAAGGGAACATAAAGGGGAAGAAGAAAAGAAGGGAAGATCAGTTGCGGTTAATCCCGCCAACAACATGTGGAGCGGGGTGGGGGCCTAAAGGCCCTTGCCCCCCCCCCCCCCCTCCCCCTCAGCAAACCTAAAAGAGAGAGAAGGAAGGAAAGGGAAAGAGGAGAGAGAGGGAAAGAAAAAAAAGAGAAAGAAGAAAGGTAAGGGAGATCAGTTGTGATTTTCCCGCCAACAAGGTGTAATGGGGGGGGGGGGGCACTGGCGTACTGATTAGAGGGGGGGGGGGGGGGCTTGGGGAAATAAAATTCAAACGTGGTTTATTTCTAATTCCATAACGGTAGTTTACAAATAATGCTAAAATGACATAATTTTCCGAGATTTGTCCTCACTTTTTAGTAAATTATACTTTTTTATGCGTTTGTTGGAAAATGACAAATTCCTAAATTTATAGCCAGGCAAGAAAATATGCTTCTTGAGATGCCCTCCCCCCCCCCCCCCCACACACACTTTTTTTGGAAAAAGTATATTAAAGAGAAATAGAAAGAAAGAGAGCAAGAAAGAAAGAATAGTTAGCTGCCAGTGTCACAAAATAAATAGATAAGTATCAAAATATACTCATCTGACCGTGATTAAATGCCTAAGCCCCCTGGATTCCACCTAGGGCCCTGAGGCGGGCCCTTAGATGCTCATCTGACGGTAATTTATTGCCTTAAACCCGTGACCTTCCGGGGGCGGACAAGGTATCAAAAGATGTTCATCTGACCGCAGGCGCGTAGCCAGGGGGGCAGTGGGGGCGGTCCCCTCAAAGAGCCGGCCAAAAAACCAAAAAAAAAGAGAGGAGAGAAAAGGAAGAGGACGTAGGAAAAAAAAGTGAGCAGACAAAGAACTTTTTTGAAATTCAGACAAGTATTAAGAGTCGAGAACGGTACAACGAATCTCTAATGATTTAATGAAATGTAAAAGCTTCCGCGCTTCGCGCGGGAGGGGGGGGGTGGGAGGGAAACTGAATTCAGACGGGGATTTAAAGACGAGAACGGTACAACGAATCGTCTTCTTTCTCTTCTTTCTCTAAAATTTAATGAAACGTCTAAGCTTCCGCGCTTCGCGGAGGAGGGAGGGGTAAACTCGCTCCTCCACGCACTCACCCCCTATTACGTCACTGCTGGTCACCATTACGTACCAATATATGGCTCGCATAATTTCAAATTTGCCCCCCCCCCCCCCAATAAATCCAGGATCCGCGTCTGACAAGTACAGCCGTATACAAAACATACACCCACATAGAGCGAACAAACAAACAAATGAAAACGAAAAAGGAAAGAAGAAGAAGAAAAAAGGGAGGAAAATAACTGTAATTTCATTATTACCTTATGATAAGTTGATGGTTTCATCGTTATGAGGACCATGCGGTTGAAACCAATGATGGCCAAATGCCATACGCTTGCCCCATTGCAGGCGAAGGTGATGACGGCGACGAAAACACACGATGCCTCCGAGAACGGCCACCCCGTGGTCGATACGACTCCTACGATAATGAACGGGATGATGAGGCACGTCGTCATGTCAGCAATCGCCAAGCTCGTCACGTATACATTGGTGATCGTGCGGAGTTTCGGGTACATGACGACCACGATGAAGATGAGGAGGTTCCCTACGAACCCGACCACGGCCACGAAGCCAAACCAGCCGGAAAGGGCAATGCGGGAGTGGAGACTTTTCAATTCCTCGTCATCGTCGATACCGTTCGGAAGGGTAGCCGATGACAGATTCATGTTTCCTTGGTTCTGTAAAGTTTATCCTTTAAAGTTCTGTTGATATGACGGAGAACGAAAGGAAAACCGTCAATGTTCTCTTGGCAATACATGATGTATATAATATGTGTATATATGCATTGTATAATAATAATAACAGTTCAGTGCTTGTATAGCGCATAATACGTTATGAAATAACATCTCTATTATATGCTCTTTCAAAGAGCTTTCGAAATTATTGCCCTAGCTTAAGCTGTATTGTTGTATATACATTTTTTTAAATATCATTATAGACTTTAAAAATAATATTTACAACGAACTCTGCTCATGAAACCTCATTTCAATCGAATTGTTCCTACATGTTTCCTCTTACTGCTTATTCAATATCAATTTCCATAAAGTTAGCAAAAAATATTGCACAACACTCTACATATAAGAGAGAGAGAGAGAGAGAGAGAGAGAGAGAGATGAAAGCGTACCACGCATATATAACACTTAGTTTGAAAAAAATTCTGAGCGTTTTACATAACTAACTTACATGAATTAAATAAAGAAAACTTAAATAATAAACAACTACAAATAACAAGCTATATACAGGAAAACTATTTTTCAATCTATTATGTAAACAAAAAAGGGTCTTTTGTTAATAGTGTTATGCGGGAATATAATGATGATCACGAGTGGTTTTAAGACGGAGGTACTTGGAATTCAATTAACTATGAAGAGGACGTAATGATCCAATAAGCTTGTTCCACACATAATGAGTATAAATCTCTCGCAAAGAGATGATTATTTCAAGGAGCAATATATTCTCCGTTTTTCTGTTCGTGATGAGTTGCTGATGCAAACAATTTACAGCACGATATTTAGTTAACACTTATAATCTATACTTTATTTCCTCTCTTTCATTCTTTATCTCTACATTTTCGACTGAATTTTTCCCATGATTGCACTTAAATCACCCACTATAAATACCTTTCTTTTTAAAGATCATAATGTTCTCGCCTGAACAGGAATTAATTCTTTGAAATGCTAGAGCGCCGAAATAGCAGCCGTGCTAAAGCCAGGGTACTAATCGGTAGCGCCAGGAGTGTAAAGTTAGTGACAGATATTAGCGCTATAAAAGAACGCAATGCTATTATTATTATTATTATTAAAAGGGAAATTATATGCTACAGTGGGTTAGATTTATCTCAAAATTACTGTATAGTTGTTTATTGTATACTGCACGGATTCATCCATTAAGTCCAATGATGCCGTTCATTTTATCCTATATATTTATTGTAATGATATCATAACGATTATTGCCGATGCATAGATTCTTCAAAATATTATAAAAACTTGAAAAGAAAGTTTTTTGCTGGATTATCAACTTAAAAAAACAAATATAATATTTATGGTTGTACCAAATAACGTCAAAGAAACGCGACGGGATTCTCGCTATTTGCCTTTCGTTTTGGGTATTTTGTCTGTATTATTGACTACAATGACGAAATAGAAAAGAGTCGTACGTCTATATTTACATTGCAATGATTTATGCGAAGATATGAATTAAATATCTGTAGATAATCATAGTTATTCATCCAAAGGTTGCCATAATGACCTTGCGGGTATCGCAATAATGATTCGTAAGTTTTATCGTGATAAACAGGGACAGTGTATAAGTTTAAAAGGGTGGAAATTGGATTGATAGTTAAATGAGGAACATAAAGAGAAAGAGAGGGCAATATGGATAGATAGTAAGATGGAGAAGGGCAGTGAAGAGAGAGAGAGAGAGAGAGAGAGAGAGAGAGAGAGAGAGAGAGTAAGAAAGAGAGAGTGAGAAAGAGAGAGTGAAAGAGAGAGAGAGAGAGGGCAAGATGGAGAGAGAGAGCAAGATGGAGAAGGGCAGTGAAAGAGAGAGAGAGAGAGAGAGAGAGTAAGAAAGAGAGAGTGAAAGAGAGAGAGAGAGAGGGCAAGATGGAGAGAGAGCAAGATGGAGAAGGGCAGTGAAAGAGAGAGAGAGAGAGAGAGTAAGAAAGAGAGAGTGAAAGAGAGAGTGAAAGAGAGGGCAAGATGGAGAGAGAGCAAGATGGAGAAGGGCAGTGAAAGAGAGAGAGAGAGAGAGAGTAAGAAAGAGAGAGTGAAAGAGAGAGAGAGAGAGGGCAAGATGGAGAGAGAGCAAGATGGAGAAGGGCAGTGAAAGAGAGAGAGAGAGAGAGAGTGAGAAAGAGAGAGTGAAAGAGAGAGAGAGAGAGGGCAAGATGGAGAGAGAGAGCAAGATGGAGAAGGGCAGTGAAAGAGAGAGAGAGAGAGAGAGAGTAAGAAAGAGAGAGTGAAAGAGAGAGAGAGAGAGGGCAAGATGGAGAGAGAGCAAGATGGAGAAGGGCAGTGAAAGAGAGAGAGAGAGAGAGAGAGTAAGAAAGAGAGAGTGAAAGAGAGAGTGAAAGAGAGGGCAAGATGGAGAGAGAGCAAGATGGAGAAGGGCAGTGAAAGAGAGAGAGAGAGAGAGAGTAAGAAAGAGAGAGTGAAAGAGAGAGAGAGAGAGGGCAAGATGGAGAGAGAGCAAGATGGAGAAGGGCAGTGAAAGAGAGAGAGAGAGAGAGAGAGTAAGAAAGAGAGAGTGAAAGAGAGAGTGAAAGAGAGGGCAAGATGGAGAGAGAGCAAGATGGAGAAGGGCAGTGAAAGAGAGAGAGAGAGTAAGAAAGAGAGAGAGAGAGTGAAAGAGAGAGAGAGATAAAGAGAGGGCAAGATGGAGAGAGAGCAAGATAGAGAAGGGCAGGGAGAGAGAGAGAGTAAGAAAGAGAGAGAGAGTGAAAGAGAGAGAGATAAAGAGAGGGCAAGATGGAGAGAGAGCAAGATGGAGAAGGGCAGTGAAAGAGAGAGAGATAGTAAGAAAGAGAGAGAGAGTGAAAGAGAGAGAGAGAGAGAGAGGGCAAGATGGAGAGAGAGCAAGATGGAGAAGGGCAGTGAAAGAGAAAGAGAGAGAGAGAGTAAGAAAGAGAGAGAGAGTGAAAGAGAGAGAGATAAAGAGAGGGCAAGATGGAGAGAGAGCAAATGGAGAAGGGCAGGGAGAGAGGGAGAGAGAGAGAGAGAGAGAGAGTAAGAGAGAGTATTAAGAGAAAGTAAGAGAGAGAGAGAGGGGGAGTGCAAGATAGACAGATAGAGAGAGAAAGAAAACAAGATAGTGGGTAAGGGAACGATCGAGGGGTAAAATGGAGAGGGTGAAATATAGAGGTGGACATGGAGAGGTAGTATATACATTCAAGAGATTGTTTAAACAAAGTTGTAATTTGTGAATGGCTCAGCCGTATATACACTACGTGCATGTTCTGTAATATTTACATGACTTATTCACATAATTGCGACTTAATTAATATTTTCCTATTGACATTACTGTTTACTAGGTTTATGATATATGTTTATTTTGCAAACGAGTATTATTTTTGTAACTGTTCTGTATAAATGTTATAAACGATGTAAATATGTTCATTCAGGGCCCCATGGAAGACCACTACTTGCTGGTGAATGGGCTACCCTGTCAAAAGATCAGAAATAAATAAATAAATAAATAAATATATATAGAGAGAGAGAGGTAGAAGGGGCAGAGCATGCGTGGAAGGAGAGTACAAGCAGAGTGCTTATAGTACACCAGAGGGAGAGGGACAGAGCGATTGAAATAGAAATCGTGTGTGAGAGAGAGAGAGAGGGGGGGGGGGGCAGAAAGAATGAAAAAAAAAACGTGTGCGAGAGAGAGATTGTGCGTGTGTATAGGTGTGTGAGAGAGAGAGAGAGAAAGAGAGAGAGAATATGTATCTCATGCCACTTTTAGGGGGATTAATTAAATTACTCTGAATTAAAATGGATGATTGATAGCTATAATCTGCTTTTACTGGATAATATCTCAAAGTGCAGTCACACTACCAGACCGACTCCACCCCAAATCCAAATTTTGGGCATTTCGTGGTAATGTAATTATCGGATCGGTTTAAAACAATATTGTCGGTCAGGTGTCGATGTCGTTAGTGTGATTGAGGTGTAAGACTTTTTCAGAATCATGATCGCTTTATAGGTCGAAATTCCAGTTGATATTTCCAACTGGTATCTAGTGGTTTGAATTGGTTTGAACTGGTCGCAACTGGTACCAGTTGAAACCAGTTGATGCAATTTAAAAACCAGTAGAAATACCAGTTTGAAGTCGGACAAATAGAATACCTGTTGTTACAGGAACCAGTTGATATCTGGTCTCAACTGGTACCAGTTACGGGTCTTAACTGGTACCAGATGAAACCAGTATATCTAACTGGACAGGTGTCAATATGGACATTAGAATATCGCTAACTGGGATCAGAAAACCAGATGAAATTACCAGTTCAAAGACCAGTTCAAAAACCAGTTCGAAAACCAGTTCAATAACCAGTTCAAAATCCAGTTCAAAAACCAATTTAATGTATCTTTCGCAGATTTATGATTAATTTGCACGTCTTCACAGAAAATATAATTATCATGATGTGTCAAACAAATATTATCTATATTTTCTTAGTCAATCAGTGACAAATTATTATATATGTCTGATCATGTTTTACATCGAATTTACGACGTGAAAAGTGATATATTGATTATGTAATTAATAACCAGGAAAGAACTTGTTTAATTGTGTATATAACTATGTACGAGCTCCAAAATTCTAACACAATGTGATAATCATGTTATAATCCACTTCAAATGATCTTTGTGATGTGATAATTACAAAAGTCTATAACATATGGCCCAGTTGGTGGCCAGATGCCAATATTGATTATAGATTATCAATTGATTACTGGTCTCTACTGGATAATGAACTGGTAAATCAACTGGTATTTAAGTGGTTTTCAACTGGTAAATCAACTGGTATTTAACTGGTTTTCAACTGGTAAATCAACTGGCATTTAACTGGTTTTCAACTGGTATAACAGCTGGTATATCAACTGGTAATTCTACTGTCTTTCAACTGGTAAATCAACTGGAAATATCAACTGGTCTCAAATGTCATGGTTACCTGG